TTTATCATGGGGTACAATTATACCCTTATTTTCTATAAGTATATGATAAAAAAAATTAATAACACTTTTAGATATTTGGATGATATATTGGCTCTCAATAATGACGACTTCACTGTATGTACACTAAAGAGATTTATCCTGCTGAACTGACTTTAAATAAAGCTAATACTAACAATGAACACTGTCCTTTCCTGGATCTTAATATCTATATCTTTAACGGGAAGCTTAATACCAAAATTTATGATAAAAGAGATGATTTTTCATTTCCTATTGTTAATTATCCATTTTTAGATGGTGACGTGTTCTTGTCACCATCTTATGGTGTTTATATATTTCAACTTGTTCGATTCGCTCGTGTATGTAACATTGAACGTATTTGATTTTAACGAAAGAAACCTCTGTATTACTGAAAAATTATTACACCAGGGTTTTCGATATCCCAAACTAGTCAAAACATTTAATAAATTTTATCAACGGTACAAGGACATCATTCGTAAATATAAATCAACTGTTGAACATGCAGACATCTTATACGTTCAGGTACTTCACATCCAATCTTTTATGGTAATATTCTATACAAAGCACAAAAATGTCGACATTCACCTCAAAAGCTAACCAAACCTTTAAACAGACGTATTCAGAAGGGATATAGTTACGATACTGTTGTCAGGTCATTTAAGATGGCATATTTTGGTATTAATATTGATTCACTCATAGGGTCTTTGCATCGGAAATAAACATATTTATTCTAAAACCAGTTGTTGGCATGATACGGGTTATGTTCTTCTCATATATTTAATATTGGTATGATACTAAACCCCTACCGGGAGGGATTTAGCTTGATTTTCAAATGATGAAGACATAATCTTTCAATCAGTTTAATTGAGGTCTGGAGCTGCCATGTCAGTAACTGCTAGTAGTCCATTGTTGATTTATGTATCATTGTCATTTTGCTTAGTTTCTTTTGTTACTATTCTGAAATCGGACTCGGACTTCTTTTAAACTGAGTTTTATTGTGCGTATTGCTGTGCGTTTGTTTACACTACATTGGCTAGAGGTAAAGGGGAGAGTTGAGATCTCGCAAAACATGTTCAACCCAGCCGCATTTTTGCGCCTGTCCAAATCCGGAGCCTCTGGCCTTTGTTAGTCTTGTATGTTTTTTAAATTTTAGTTCATTTATATGTTTTGGGGTTTAGTGTGACGTTCATTTTCATTGAACTAGTACACATTTTTGTTTAGGGGCCAGCTGAAGCCCGCCTCCGGGTGCGGGATTTTCTCGCTGTGTTGAAGACCCATTGGTGGCCTTCGGCTGTTTTCTGCTCTTTGGTCGGGTTGTTGTCTCTTTGATACATTCCCCATTTCCATTCTCAATTTTATTTGTTGTTGTTGTTTAATACAGTAGATTAGTTATAGAAATGAGTTTGTTATCTTCTAGTTCAGTGTACACATTCATGGAATAAACGTGGTCATAGCAATCCCCCCCCCCCCCCATTTCCTCGTCAAAATGATTATTCACCCCTCAAATTTCCACGACAAAAAATACTCTCCGTGCAATTCTCTTCTTGGGAAGTGTTCGATAGTGTCCAATGAATTTTATTTTTAAAATCGATCTAATTCAAATTCATTTCATTATTCGTTTTTACTGAGTATGGTCAGAGTGTACACAATAAAGTTAAATCAGTTATTTAATACTATTTGAATATAACTAATTTATGTGACTCAACATATCCTTTTGTGATAATAATGTTGTGTCGAACAATTTTGTTATAAAAAGATTTAATTTAAAACTTTTCATTATACATAATTTAATGGTGTAAAGCAAACAAATTAAAATTCATATTTCTCCAATGAAATTTAATCAAACGTTTAATAAAAAGAGCAAAATGGAATGATTATTATGTAGATACAAGTGTTCCGATTAAATCAGGAGAAGCATAATGACAACTGATAGAAAGTGAATACATCAATAGAAATGTTAATCTTAAATGTACCTAAGGTACAGATAGTTAACACAAAAAAAAACAGAGAAAAATCCTTGTGGGAGATGACATATATTTATTCAGATTTAGATCACTTTTATTTAGCTATTTTGGGATACCTTTTAACGCATTATCCTACTACATTTAATTATAAAGGAGTTTTTTTTTTAAATGTGTTGATTAAATTTTGGATATAAATGTGAAAAAGTAAATGTATGGGAAAAAATCTCCTTAAACCAGGTGTTGAAAGAGTTTCTGTTTTTAATCAAGCTAGAAAATTATATGAATAGTACAATATTGAATATAAAATAATGATGATTTGCTCAGTAATACTGAGAAAAGAGAAAGCAATTTTCTAATTAACTCAAAAATAATACTGATATTCATAATAATATTAACAATATGTAGAAAAGACTTTGATTCAAATGAAAACCAATATATATGCATTTTAAACGTATGAACAAAAGTAAAATCTACAGCGATGGTCCATTGCGTTGTATTATATATGATATCATTTAACTCTCATCCTTTAAAACAGTTTTCAAGTTTTAAAGCACTGAATAAAAACTTATTCCATAACTGAAAATAGTCACCACAAAATCCAATGCCCTCTGTCATTATTCTTCCATCGTCGGCAGTTGTTGAAATGATCGTCTGTTTTTTGTTTCATCTGACATCGATGTCATTGTTCTCATTCGTAGAAACGAGGCGATTGTTGGATTGGCTTTTGAGAATTTACATGTTCGTGCAATATTGGCCTGGACAAACAATGGTACTTTATCCCTCAAGTCCGGATCATATCCATGTAAATAAATAAATCCATGTAATCGGCCCTCACATTCACTTTCATCCTTTAAATTTATTGTTCCGTCTAGATTCTTTCTCGTCTTCGCCTCGTAATTCATTATAGTGTCGTCCACTAATGATGTTGTGTCGGACATTTTATAAACACATGCAATGTCGTACTTTTACCGCTTTTATCATTCACTAAGAACCAGTGAGTGATATAAATCGTAGGAAAGTCTACTTCACACAAACGTATCCCAATTTCAACAAGTATAAGATACTTTAAAATATCCCTATAAATCACTCCATCTGTCATCGAGTAGGCATAGCAATACAAAAATGTAAATTTTGAAACCCTTCTCTCTCATAATCCTTTATACTGTGTCCTAATTCCACGAATTTAGTGCATAAATTTATAAAATGTCATAGCACTGCCGGTATCTGAGAGGAAATTAAAACTTGTATGGACATTATCCAAATAAAATAAATCTTTTTAATTTAAATGATATTTGCCTTTTCGAATCTAACCGAGAAAACTTAGGTAGATAGGTAAAAGTGACAGGTAGATACAAGTGTTGTAGTATTTAATTTCAGAAGATCCGGCTATCACAAGTAAAACTTGATGTATCGAATTTACATTAAATGTACTGTAGACGTATTCAGAATTGTGCATCTTAAATAAACATGCACGGTTGGACACTTGTGCGAAATGTATAACTTTAAAATTCATATGATACCAGTAAAGTAAGCTACTCTATCTACTTCTCGAACAGATTGATAAAGGAAAGAGAGTGTGGTTGTTTATTCCATATTGGCGTGAGGTATAGGGGGAGGGTTGAGATCTCACAAAACATGTTTAAGCCCTCCGTATATCCCCTGTCTATTGTTGAAGGCTGTATGTTTCCCTCTAGATGTCTTTTTGTCATATTTAAAACTTGACATATTTTGTATCCCCTGCCTATTGTCAAAGGCTGTATTTTGTCAGAATTGGCCTATTTTATATCCTATGTCCATTGCTGAAGGTTGTATGTTGTCCTCTAGATGCCTTTTATGTCGTGTTTGTCGCCGGGTTGCTGTCTCATCGATACATACTCCATAATCTCGTTTCATTCCTGATTTTACGGTAGGTGTTATTTTTTCTATTTTCTCGTTTTGACTAATATTTAGTCTGTCAAATGTTGAGAGAGAGAGAGAGAGAGAGAGAGAGAGAGAGAGAGAGAGAGAGAGAAAATATCAGAGGAGCATTGAAAAAACGAAAAAAGACGAAAAGATAAAAAAAAAACAGTCTACAAAACTCTTCACAGAAAGCTAAAGACTGAGCAGCAGGAAACATCTTGTAAATCACAGGCGCTCCGTAAGGGATAAGCAGATCTTGTGCGACTGTCATACAAGTGAGAGGTTTAGCTAGCTATAAAACCATTTTTAATCCACCATTTTCTACATAAGGAAATGCCTGCACCAAGTCAGGTATATGACAGTTGTTTTCCATTCGTTTGATATGTTTGAGCTTTTGATTTTGCCATTTGATAAAGGACTTTCCGTTTTGAATTTTCCTTGGAGTTCGGTATTTTTGTTGTTTTACTTTTTTCAATAAAGAAGCCGTTACGATCTTGAAGCAACTGTAGGTTTGGTTTTGGTATAGAATGCACAACAGCTTTAATGTTACTATTATCATGAACATATATTTTGGAAACTGTGGGGAAACTGTGAACATGTATATTTGGGAATCCTGTGAACATGTGTGGGAGGCTCAATCTTATACGACTACAAGGACGACAAAATACAATTATCCCCGTGAAAACGGGGAAAACAGTACAAAATAGATGTTCTCCATGTATTTGTCATGTCCCTATTCGCCCAAACCTGAAAAGACGAATTTATTTAACCATGATTGGCTTTTAGACAGAAATTTTTCGTCACTGTTGCACATGCAATACCTTAGTTAAAACAACTCCATAAATGCATGTTCTATTATGTGTGGCCACTGGACGTTAAGCAACCAACAATCATGAATCAACTTTTATATGTGTGTACTTATATATCAGTATACTATGTGCGGAAAATAAATTTGAACGTTCGAGAGTATTAACAACCAAAAGTGTTGATATTTGAAACAAATATGCATATAATTGCTTACATCCACTTCATTTGAACTTTGGTGGATAGTTGTCTCATTGGCAATCATATCACATCTCCTTATTTTTATGAAAGCTTTATTCGTAGTTTATAATGAGACAGATATGGAAAGGCTTTAATGATGTGTGAACATGTAATAATTAATTATAAACAAGCGGATTTTTTATATTGTTCTCAGACATTGTTTTCCATAGAGACCAAGTAAGTGCCTTGCACCAGAGCCTCCAACAACCTGGATACCTCTTTTTAATGATACAATCTGGTCTCTGCAACATTTACCAACGATTATTGTAACCTGAAATTAAAAGAAACAAAAAGAAGTGAAGCAATTCATTACAAGACAATCCAGTCATGATATAAAAATTATATATATTCGGCATTAAAGATTACTTCTCATGGTAAAGTAAAACATATAAAATTGCAGGTGAAAAATTGCCATGTGTAATACTTTATCAAATTCATTACACAATGAATTAAGAAACATCCTTATTTTTTTACGGTTTTTCTGATTCATTTTGCAGCATATATGTCTCCCAACTCGTTTGCCATGAACGTGTTTGTAGTGACGTCTTGAATTTAAATGAATGCAATCTATCTAAGGAATGACTATTATATGTTATTCGGCTATGAAGAAACAACATCAAAAATGTGTTGCACACTGATTAACCCGCGTAGCTGGTTATTTAAAAGTGTGCACTACATTTTAGAGGTTATTTCGAATAGACAGAAAAAATATTACAGTCATTCCTTATAATTTAATTCTAAATTCCATATTTAGGGAATAAATCATGAAAAAACGTTGATGACGTCACGGTCACATGACAAAATTATGTCGATGAGCTGATAGACAAAAATCTTTCAGCCAATCAGAAGACGTGTTACATCCAAAATTAAATTATATACTACTGGTTAATTATTAAAACGGGGATTTTGTTACCACAAATTATTTAAAACACTTACTGAATTCTGTCATTGACACAAATATTTGCTAGTTTGGAGGCTGGTTGTTAGAAATCTAATTACAAACGGCATTTTACTGTGACGTTGTTCATCGAGATCGTCAATTATGATACGATCCATGTAATTAAACTAAAGTGTATCATTTTGTCATTGTAGTAAGATCTTTGATATTTCCCCTATCGGTACTAACATTGATTTTATTATCAATAGTTTTAATAATAGATAAGTAAACATATTGTCATTCCATGAACTATTATTATTATACATCATGCTGATTATTGTTATTGCCATATTTTGGAATTGCACAAGGTCATAATTTTCTCAGACTCACGCCAACAATGGGTCTTTAACACAGCGAGAAAATCCCGCACCCGGAGGCGGGCTTCAGTTGGCCCCTAAATAATAATACCTTTTGCCTATTTATAAGTTAAAATTGGGTTTTAACAAGCGTTCAGTAGCCAATAATATTCTTAGATTGGCACTTTGAGTCATTTTTTTTTAGTGTTTTAGTGTTTATCTCATACTAGTATTTAAGAAGGGCAAATTAAGGTGCTTCGGCTGTTTACATGGCGCTTTCAAATATCCGAAGGCTGTCGATTATCAAACCGGTCACCATGTTTACAATAGCTCTGAAATGCTGTTCTAAGGGGACACATATATTTTATGTAAATGCAGGACATTCTTAGGAAAATAAATTGTAAGTATTGTCCTATATCCCTTGTCGATATCCGGTCGTACGGACGGACTGGGAACGTAATTCTGCTTACTATTACATTCTAACACGACTTTTTAAGTTGTCCGTAGGAAGTCATTTGCTAAGCTTATTTTCTGCCCCTATCCATTTTACCACTATATCATTTATGTCTTTGCAGAACCTGCTATCTTGATTATTGTTTAATTTGTATTCGTCCTGAATATCATGAAATATTTGGACGTTGAGCAAAACTAAAGTTTCAGCTGAAGATTTGTCAAGGTTTGCGACAAAAATTAAAATATAAAATATTGAACTTAATAACTTTCGTGTCGTGTAATGAACCTTTGTTTTCCTTTGTGTGTGAACGGGGGAGTTGCACAAACATTTTGTATCTAACTGTTAATAATTGTTAATTATTGTCACGCTATATTCACGCCATTTGTGGACAATTTCTTGATATAGTTCTCTCTCAAATATGCGTTTCCTTTTGTTAGTGTTCTCTGTATTTAAATAAAATTCACTTACGATAATCAGGTACAAAAAACGGTTCTCCAAGGAAAGCCCTCGGTTCTGGTGCAAACCGAAAATTGTTTTGCTGTGGCTCAATAAGGAGGACCTGCTCACTTCCTCTTCCTCTTCCTCTATTACCACCATTAAAAAATCCATTATTTCCACCGCCAATAAAACTATCTAGGAGAGATAAACCAATTAAGGGACGGATAAGTCCACCTACTCCGGGTAGCTGGCCTTCAGTCACTTGTACAATGGATGCCACTGACACCATAAACAGTATAAAAGCCTTCATTGTTGATCTACCTTTAATAAAAAGAAAACATTTTCATATTTAGCAATGTGTCATAATAATTCTGTCTTATTTTTTTTTTAGTTTTATTTACTCCTTTTGGCTGATAGGAAGGAGTCTTCTTCAAAGATGTGTCGTTTTTTAAATTTTAAATACATAAATAAATTATGTTGCCTACTTTGCGACGTAACTGGGATTCGAATGAGAGATGGTCTAGCACGCTGAAGTGTGGTGGTAAAATCGTGGGCTTTCGATTAACGATCAAAGTCGATACATTATCTGCAAAAATTAACAATATGCAAATAAATGCATAGCGATTTCAATGCAGACATCGCGATGCTTTTTAAATGCATGATAGCTAAAGAAACAACTAAAGAAGACAATCAAAACATCAGCATGTACTTATTTCTATTAAACCTCTAATGTTTGTCCGGTTTCTTGGGCTTATATTTTTTTGTTACGGTTTTAAGAGCAGTAGCAAAAACGGATAATGTGGTGTAAATGAAACTAAAAGAGCTCACAATTCCAAAATTGAAGCGGAATGTACATGCGATATCTCCAAAATACTCTTCGAAAAAAAGGCTGATATATATGTTTCAGTTTTTTTCTTTGATTCTTACCATTTACACAAAGTAATGAAATTACGATGCAAAGAATATACACTCTTTATTTAAAATTTAAGCAAGAGGTCCAAAATTAATATTTAAAAAAAATAAAAGTTTGATATTTCAAACTCCTACGTGTTACTAGAGAAAAAAAACCGATTTAGTGAAAAAGATAGAATTTATATTTTCAACTAAATTTATTTTATCGGTTCACGTTTAGTATAAGTTAAAAGCTTTAAATGAAAAATGTTGAAAAGCAGAATATTTTTCAACTAACCTTTTGTAAGATGACCAGATATGTACCGGTGTTATCTTCAAAGGCGTATGGTTTTATACCACTGATTTGCATTTTCATGATAATTATAAAATTGTTGCCATTGATTATACATTTTATTTCTTTGTTACGCGTTTATTGCAACAAAATTCCCATTAATGTATGATATATTGAGATCTACGCCACTGTAAATGAATCGCCTAAAAGCATCCAGGTCATTAATGACGGACCTACGAATATATTTTTTCAAAGGTAAATGACACTAAAGTATTTATATGAATATATGGAATTGTTGGGTAAACCAAAAAGAAACATTGATCAAACAACAAAAACAACCATCTGTTTGGTTGACAGGTGCTCTTTCAACGATATATAAAGTCATCCCTTCCAGGTGTTACGAACGACCACGGTCGGATATAATATTGTTGTCGTTACAACAGTCCCGTCCTCTTTCCTCGATTTTAACATCACCTAATGAGACTTATCATCGGGTTGATACTTTCAGGAGCAACACGACGGGTGCCACATGCAGAGCAGAAACTGTATACCCTTCCAGATCAGTTACCCCTCCCTTCCTCATTTGCGTTTTTTGATGGGTTCGTGTTGCTCAGTCCTTATTTTTTTTTTTGTGTAGTGTTTTTCCAAGACGTTGTCAGTTTTTTTGTCAGTTGTCAGTTGATAGAGAAAACGATCGAGATTAATACAAATCACTCTTATGATTCGTTCGTGGAGACGTCGATGGAAATTATAGAAAATTTGAAATAATGACACTTTTCCTGTTTTATATAAAAAAAAAAAATGCTCTTATTATAACAAGCGATTCTATTTCAAAAAACGAATTATATTTTTTTCCTGCAGATTTTTTACAGCTCTGTCTTTCAAGTTTAGGAAATAAACAAAATTTATTATAATTTACTATTTTTCGAATAGGTAATTTCACATGATAACTATATACAAGGAAAAAAACCTCAAAATAATGATTTTATCGAATAAAACATAATACATCACAAAAAAATAAACCATAAAAATAATTTATTCAAGAGATAAATCATTGATGGAAATAAAATACTATTATGTCATGATATATAATAATTATGTGATTATCATCTATATATATGAATATAAAGTAATGCAGTATTTCAAGTATATAGACAAGATGTGTATATACAAATCAATATATGTTCATTGATGATGACCTCTTTGTAAGTTTATATCGCTTTTATATAAAAAAAAAAAGGAGATCTCTTACAATTACAAAGTAGACAACTATCCATAAAGACCAAAGGACAAAGATGTAAAGAATTACAAGTCATCATATGTGTCTTCAATGAGCCAAACCCATACTGTATAGTAATCTATAAAAGGCACGAGTATTACAACATTAGATCGGTACATATTAATATCCCATTCAGATATCAGGGAAAAATATTGTATATAGTATCGTACAGTCCATACTTTCGTTAGATTTGTTCAATTCAAAACTCGACTCTCTTATAGAACTCATCCAAATAACTTTATATGTTATTCGGGATCTTCACAGGGGATGTGGGCTCATATATTCCCTGTCAGTGTTTTATATCTTCCGAGCCGTCAGGCGAAGACGAAATGGCACTGACAGGGAACAGAACCCATATCCCCTGTGAAGCCCGAATAACAATTATACTATACTGGTACGTCCTGATTTTAACACTATTTACCTTTCTGATCTTTGTTTTTGTTCGCAGGGGATATGGGCGCCTCTCATTTTCGATCCCTGTCAAGGTGACCAATCAAATTACAGGATTAGCCGGGATATTTCACTATAGTATAGTATAACCTTATCTCTATGCAATGATTTGTAAAGTGAGATTATACAAATCCTTGCTCTATGTATATAAAAATACGGGAAAGTAATATGATTACCAATGAGTGAATGAAACAAATATCTACTACAAGATTCCCTAGAGATATTAACATAAAGAATGTGTCGGGATCACAATGTGTGTGTGCATTGTGAACCCTCAACCCTACCACTTACCTGGAATAGTGGTGTAACAGCAGGGCACCAGAACGAACAGTTCAAATCAGTTTCAAAAGACTTGACTAATTAACTCAGTTACAGTTGTACTTCTTTATTTGGATAAAGAGATATAGAATCCCTTTATAATCTCATTTAGGTCCCTTTTGGTCATATATGGCTTTTAACGTTTCTACATACATGAATTCATACATCCCTGGCTATCAAATGTTTGGTTTGATCGTTCCTGGTGGAGGTAAATTGCTATCAAAGGTACCAGGCTTATAATTTTATACGCCAGACGCGCGTTTCGTCTACATAAGACTCATCAGTGACGCTCAGATCAAAATAGTTAGAAAGCCAAAACAAGTACAAAGTTAAATCCAGAAAAGAGCTTCGGACGCACGAAATTTATTATCTGTTATTTTCATACCAATGTTGATGGACTGTTCCTGGTGACATTTTCTGCCCAGTAGTTAGTTCTTTGGTATTGACATGATTTATAACCTTTTTCGAAAATTCCCGCTGATAAATTAAGAAATTACTCATAAACTAAGGTTACAACACCCTCAGGCAAAGTTGACCTTAATTTGTCTATTCTTATTCTTTTAAGTGCCCCTTTGGTCATGTAGTTCCCGTAATGTTTCTATGTATTTATATATCACAGGATTTAAAATGTTTGGATTCGATCGTTCCTTGTCAATGTTAACCCAGAAAAGCGTTTCGGACGCACGAAATTTATAAAGTGTTTACAGCCGCTCATATTAGAGTGTAGGACGTCTTTAAATAATAGTTGATATGCACGATTTCCTATCTTCAATTTACTACCCTCCAATCTTGCGAATAGGATAGCTACCAAGCTTGTGTCACTTTTTGATTATTCATTTCAATCAACATCTCCTCATAAACTACTGGTCAGAATTCAACAACACCATATCATTTAAATCATTCACGATTGTTTTTTCTAAAGTTACCCAGCAACCATATATTTTTAAAACCATTGACCCAAGCTGTCATATAGAACAATGGGTTTTCTAGAACAGTAATAACCGGTAGGAAAAGAATGTAGTAACCACTGTCTCATATATTTTTGGAAACGAAATGACTCAGATTTTGAAATGGAATTATTGAATTTTATAAGGATGTGATTTCACTTTTGGCAAAATTTTCAATCTTCGTTTGAGAGACTTTATAATCTATAGATAATTATCAAATCTCGTTTTGCTCCTGCGTTTATTCTTAATTCTTTACTATGTCTTGTATTTGATAAACCATGTGATGTATCAGATACCGGTACAATACTATATATGACTATATATTACAAATAGTTGTGTATACTGTCTTTATTTTCTTTCATGGTTTTTAAAAGAGATGCGAAGATACGAAAGGGATATTCGAACTTACCAGTCAAAGACTAAATGACGACGACAAGGCAAAAAAAGAAGAAGAACGACGAAAAGAAAAAGAAAAAACAATTATCTCACAAACACAACAATGTTAACATATGTTAGCGGCAATAAGTAAAATTTTGTTGATACAAAATAATTTCTTTTTGGCACATTATTAATAACGCAGTAATGACCCCTTAACTATGCATACTTTGTGTTGTAACGTCAGTTTAGGTTCAATTTCACCAAAATTTATAACAGTTTTTAGCATAATTTTTTTTGGCCACAACTCCTGATCCAGAAAAGGTTTGTCTCCAGTGATGCAATATAGTGATTGGTACCTATTGGCTAAAGAACATATCGCAGATTGCGGCCCAGGTTTTCCTTAAGCTTTTATGTCTGAAAAATGCACAAAATCATCGTATTTTGACAATATACTCAAAATGTGTTGACCGTTTGGAGCCTATAATATACTCCAATGAGGAAATTTGTTTTACCGATCAATAAGGCTATTGAAATATATCAATTTAAGAAACAAATTATGATTTTGATGTTTAATGATGAAGTTGAAATTCAAGGCCATATTTACCAAAAGTGAACCTTGTTCTATCCAATATACCCTCATTTTCCAGCGGCATTCAAATTTCTCAGGGCGCCAATCATCCCGGTCGAACCCCGATTGCAGGACCTACCTATTGTATTAATTGTTGATTTCACTATTCTCTCCTGAACATCCATGAAGTAACGGTTTAGTCCAAACTATCGCTGATGGTTTCAACGAGGATGAATCAATACTAGCATAGCTAGTGGACCAAGAAAAGGCGTACGACTCAATATGGCGTGAGGGGTTAATGATCAAGCTGCATAAGCTCGGTATAAAGGGAAAAACCTGGTTATGGATCAACAGTTTCCTCACAAATAGAACAGCCAGATGTATGCTAAATAATTTCTTGGGAAAACAGTTCGATACAAAAATCGGCTTACCCCAAGGGTCAGTACTATCACCGACCCTTTTTAACATCTTCATAGCTGACATAATGGATAACACCAAAGGGGAAAATTGCAAGTTTGCAGATGATGGAACATTATGGCATAAGGGAAAAGACATAAGCAAGTTGAAAGAAAAAACTGCAGAGGATGTCAAAACAATATTAAAGTGGACACATACTCTTGGATGGAGAGTTGTCTCATTGGCACTCATACCACATCTTCTTATATCTACAAAAATGGAGAATTAACGTAAACCTGGAAAAATGTGAAGTCTGTCTATTCTCAAAAAACAACACAAATACAGAGCAAAAAACATTAATCGTCAACACCTTTAAATTTAAATACAGTCCAACACCCAAACTACTCTGTGTAAATCTGGATGAGAAATTGAAATTTGACACCCACATCAACCTAATGCAGAAAAGAGCAAGCAATGCAATATATGTAATAAGAGATATAAAGGGCATGGGAAGAATATCAAGAGCAAACTACTCCAAATTTACAACAGCATGGTACAATCTATTATGGAGTATGCATGTCCAGTCTGGCAAATAACATCTACAGACAATATGAAAAAACTGGAAGCTGTACAAAGAAAAGGCCTGACATTATGCCTTGGACTACCAGAAACATCAGGTAGAGAGGCAATGGAAGTCGAAGCCAATATTCAACCTATCGACCTTAGAATCGAAGAAATATCAGTGCGTGAATTGGCAAAAATTCAATCTAAGAACATAGCAGAACCAATTAAACAACATCTGGAACAGTATCTAACCAACAACGATACTTATGAACAACAATAGTCACCATTTGTTAAAGCTATAAACCAATCTGTAGACATGTTCAAAGCTACAAAGGTGGATATTAAACTCATAGAACCAGAATTTACATACAAAGCTGGTGCAGATTTTATGCTGATGAGAGCACCAAGCTACTGGAATCGACTTGGTAGTTCAAAGAACAGAACTGCAGAGCAAAATGTTGAAAGTAAACAGGTTGTAAAGGACCTACTAGGAGACAGCACAGACTCAACTGTAGTAGCATTCACTGACGGCTCTTGTCAGGGTAATCCAGGACCATGTGGGGCTGGGGCGGTAGTATATTCCGGAAATAGCGAAGGCGTGAGCTTAAAGAGGCCAGTAGCTAACAGAGGATCAATACTACTTGCCGAACTTGTAGCTATCCTTATGGTTCTGGAGCACTGCATTACATCAATTAAGGACCAGTTTTCTGAGGTCAAAATACTATCAGATAGCCAGACTGCTGTAGGCATTTTGACTCTGCAGTGGAAATCTTCAAACTACATTGACACCATAACAGACGTTAGAGAAAGTATGGGGATACTCTTGAGACACGGCATACTAACAACCCTATCTTGGATCCCAGGCCATGCTAATATAGCCGGGAACGAGATAGCGGACCAATTGGCGAAAGATGCTGCAAAGGAGGCCTCATCACTAAATGAACAATATAATGTCATAACTATGTCGGATGTCAGAAGTGCAGTCAAGATGTCTACAAAACTGAAATGGCAAAGCAGATGGACAATCAGTGAAACACGGAGACAGCTATATGATCTGGTACCTATTGTTGGGAAAATAGTTCAACTAGACTTCCCTAACACTCAAATTGGAAGAATACTATCGGAACTAAGAACATGCTACAACAGGCTAAACAAATACAGAAACCAATTAGGTCAACTCCTCACGCCATATTGTGAATGCGGAGAAAAAGAAACAACAGAACATTATTTGATATACTGCCAAAGATACCATAAGGAAAGTGAGGACTTGAAAAAACAACTGGAAATAGTTAACATTCCACTAGACATCCAATCACTACTTTCACCATCAAAGAGAGAAACATACGAAAAAACTGCACAAATTATAGGGGAATATATATCTAAATCAGGGCGTTTTCAAGAACTGGCAAGCCCTGATACCCGATCCTGCGCCTAAACTAACTTTCAAAATACTGTGAGAAAATACCATGAACAATGGTGTACCGTTAGAGGAATCTATTGTACAAGCGAGACAAGTTATGTCAATTTTTGACCTTAGGATCAGGATCAGGACGCCGGTTAGTCAATGGAAAGACTTATACTATGAAATTTAGTGGGAGGGGCCATGTGCAAGAATATGTCACATTTCCAAGCGAGATAACCTAATCTGTTTATATTGGACAGTAGATAATTAACGATAACTCTTAACTCCTTCCAATAGATGTCGTTGCATTTACTAATCTTGTTAAAGAAAGGACTATAATATTGAGATCAAAACCTCGTCGAGATTATAAATCAATGTAAGAAGGGGAAATTATTTTGAAAAATTAGGGAAAAAATCCATAATTTTTGTTAATTGATCTTGAATGACACTTTTTAACAAACAGTCATAAAACGTATCTCATGAGTTTTGATGTTCGTATATCTTAAAAAATACCATCTAGTAGGTTATATGACATCCTTGTTACCAAGAAATTTAATATTTTCATTTGTCCTTATGCAACAGAGCTGACGACGAAATTGGTACCGAACCGTAGCTTGTTGCAATTTAATCACCATTAGTAATGAAATAATTATATGGCATAATATCAGCTGTATTTTTTATAAACATTTTAACATCAGCAAACATAAGTTTGTCCTGCTTTCTAACAATAGGCTTTATGCATTCATTCATTTCAGTACAATCATTCATTTATGCCTTGGACAAATAAGTTTGCTTTAAAATGATGTCTTTGAAGAAATAACTTACAAGCTAGATGTTTTTCATTTTTTAAATGTTTTATGTAAAAACGGCTAAACATATCTCAACCATCTTTAGTAAGTAAGGCGTAAGCAGACAAAAAGGTTCAATAAATCAAATTTAGACAATTGGTGAAAATTAAAGATATAAATTCTAAGACTAAATAATTGAAGAATAAGTCATTCAACAGTTAAAATATATTTTTATTGATATTGATAAGTAGAGCTCTCTCTCTGATTGATAAGTGAAGATTTATCAATTGTAATAACTAAAGACATCATCATGAAGCGAGCTAGGTCGCAAGCGCTTTTATAGTGGGTCTCCCTTTTTATGTGTGCTTAGGAGTAATTCTTATTTGAAAGTTTTCTTTCATATTTCAACTTATTTTCACCCATCTAAAATTTTCTAACTGCTATCAGTGCGATTTAATACTAACAGTATTTATATCTGATGTCCCTCTGTCCTTATTTTCAACAGTGCAAGAAAGGTATAAAATTTGCCTGAATTAAGTCACGGATAAAAATTCACAGGACAATAAGGGACGACATCAAAAGTTCAATGTAGGATAAATAAACTTAATTCACGTAGTTTTTTCACTGACTCCCCCCACCCCCCTCTTAACTTAATTTGGGAAAAATTGATTGATCAATACAGATATATGTAAAATCGATGTCAAATAAACAAAACTTGCAGCAATTTTTACCCCCACCCCCACCCCCAGACTATTTGAATTAAGTTTTTATCCTACATTGATCTTTTGATGTCGTCCCTAAATCAAAGCTCATTTATGCGATTCATAGTTTGTCTTTGATAAATAAATCGCCTTTAAAAAAAAAGCAATTTACATTGTTCATGAACAACTGATTATAAAAACTTGGGAAACATTTTTCTTGTTTGAGATTTTTTCCACACAGCAAGAAAGATCGAAAATTTAAATTAAAAAAAATCAGGGACACAAATTCGTCGGACAAAACTAAATTAATAAATACAAGTTAGTTTTTATGAGTCGTGGCATATGCACCAGAACAAAGGTGTTTTGAAATACAAGGAAAAACCAACATATCAACGAAGAAGGCCTCTTTTTCAGTGCATAAGATTAAAACTTGTCACCAGGTCTTCAGCAATCGGCTTTTTAATATCCATTTACAATGACAACACATTCATCATTGTAACAGAAACCAACATTCAATGTGTTGTAAGCGTTACATTTTTTCACACAAGAACATTTTGAACAGTGTATTTCTAAAATGCCCGAGAGACAACTTACATGTGTTTTGTATTGCACCATTAAGTAATTTAAAAAACATATATATAGAAATTAAAAGAAGAAATAAAAAAAAAAAAAGCAGCAAATTAAACTATATCTATACATAGATAACACTAATCAATTTACTTTCATGGTCAAACTAAAGAGCGAGGAACACGATTCCCTAAAAAAGAGTGATTTGAAATATTTTTTGCATTAGTTTTCGAGTTATCAAATTTGTTTTAATAGTTCCACCACATTGATGTAATGTCATTACAGGATGATACTTCCACAACAAACCGTGCATACATTCATTACATGTACATATGTCACCAATTAACACAAGTTGTATTGTATCAGATTCAATTTAATAAAACAAACAGTGGCATCCTGTTGAGCATATATAAGACAGATTCAGATTCAGATTCAATAGTTTATTAAAGTCTCACCACATACATACAAGTATAAACACATTATAATATCAAGTACACAATATAAAAATTTAGAATGCATGTGCCATTCTTAAAAGAACTATGAGAGACTGTTATATACAATTATAAAACAACAGAATTAAAACATAATTTTGTTATTCACACAAAACATAAAAGTGCAATATCACCATGCACATTCAAGGATAAAACCTGTTACATGTACATAAAAAAAAAAAAATAACAATGATTTTTTAACAGTATAAGATACTATTTCGTCGTAATAAAATATTATGGCAGGTTTTGGCAACAGAACTACAAACATTTTCATTTTTGAATAAAAATATAAATTTTTCATCATCTGACAAGGTTAAAAACATATTAATAACATCGTAATTGGAGATAGGAAAGACAATCAAGCGACAGGGTGCCTGCTGATGATAAAATTCATTTGACAATATATCAATTTCGAACTTTTTTAATATACCACCTTTTCATTTTCTTTAAATATTATCGAAATACAATTGATGGAAAAATGTTTTACGGGTGAAAAAAAAATTATTAAACAGCGAACCATTTATTATTATTTAAATGTAAATGTATACTTTATCATTTATCATTAAATACGTTTCACCAAATATAAATAAAAAATATCTTTATAGTCTCTATTATATGAAATTATACGAACTGTGAACTATCATGAACAAGAACCCTTATAGTAAAACTATTATGTCCTTGAACAGATGAGCTATCCCGACGAATACAATTTAATATAATTAAATATAATTTTATTTTGTATTCAATATTTATCGTTTCTATTTAAACAATAAAAAATAGCCACAGTGAACACTTTGAATTTGAACTTATTATGTATTATTTCATTTATTTAAGAATAACCGGAATTTAGTTTACATGTATAACAGTATGATCTTGTAATGTACGTTGTTTTCGTATATTACATTTGTGTTGGTTATTTTTTTCAAAGACAACTTTTCAAAACGCCGGAGACCTAAGAATTTCTTAATTTAAACTGACTTTTCTTATATCAAAATATAGCTTATTGACAGGAGTATTCGACAGTATGTGTTAATAGTATTTCCTCCGCATATTAAGTGTGCTTCAATTTTTTTAATTACTGCTGTCTCGTTTCTTTTGAGGTCATTCATCGATATTTACTGATGTGAGTAAGGGAATTTAGATAATGAATTTTCAAAAAATCGGAGACCTAACAATGAGATAAGATAAATAGGATTTTTTAATACCACCAGAAAGGTAAATCTATGTAGAACTCGGTCGTATGTGTTAATAAGAATTCAGATGATTAATAAAAATAATATGAAGAATTAATGAAGAGTACCTATTTATTTTCCCATTACTTTCTATGTTAATCGAACATCATTAAAAACATTGCACCCCGGGTGTCGCTGATAAGGGTAATCGGCCATTAGTGTCCTTCATTCTTGGGTATGTTTGCCCGAGCACTTAATTTCATAATATAAACCTTTCCATTGGCTATGTTCCGTTGGCTCCTTCTTACACTTCTCAGTCGGTTTTGTATGGTTTTGTTTGCAGATTTCATTAATCGTTGTATGTTTGCATACACATCTCAGTGAGCGGTAATATGTACATGTTTGCAGTGACATTTTGATTTCATTGAGCGTCATATGCACCTTTGCAGTGAAATCTCAGATTTCAATGAGCTTAATAGGTACATGTTTGCAGTGATATCTCATATTTCAGCGAGCGTTATATGCACAGGTTTTTCAGTGACATATTATATTTCCGTAATCTTAATATGTCCATGTTTGCCGTTACAGCTCAGATTTCAGTGAGCGTAATATGCACAGGTTTTTTTTTATTGACAACTTATATTTCAGTGAAAAGTAAAATAACAAAAATACCGATCTCAAAGGAAAATTCAAAACGGAAAGTCCCTTATCAAATGGCAAAATCAAAAGAACAAATAGAACGAATGGAAAACAACTGTCATATTCCAGACTTGGTACAGGCATTTCCTTATGTAGAAAATGGTGGTTTTATAGGTTCAAGTCACTTAATTGTTGTGACATCTCAGATTATAGTAGGTATAATATGTGTGTGTTTGCAATGACATCTCAGATTTCAGTGGGCGTAATTTTGAGTTGTTGTAGTGATTTAGCAGGTTTTATTGAGCATACACGGGTGTTTGCAATGGCATCTCAGATTTTGGTGAGCATTATATTTTCTTTGGTGAAAACTTTTACAATAAAATTTGCAGCAAGCAAAGCTCACAAAAATGATACTCCTGCCATTTGTATTCACTTTATTATGCAAATAATTAGCTTGAACTTGCAAACATCCATTCCAACATCATTTGCAATACACCCTCTGTTGGAAGGCAACACCAAGCAGTGTTGATTTCCTTCAAGGCATTACAAGTTCTCAGTTGAACATGACTTAATATTTTGGAAGGTTTATGTGACCCAACATTGCAAGCTTATTCACTACGCACCATCTGGATGGTGGGAAACAATAATATAATGTATCAATATCTTTCAAGGCATTTACAAGTTCTGAACTGGAACCAGACACGACTTGCACAACAGACAGACAGATTGCTTTATAAACCCCTATCCCCTCTTATGTATTATTTTAACAGCTAGACTGTAATAGAAAGAGGTATTACACATTTAAAATCTTTAATGTAATTTCTTATGAACCTTACTTTCTGTAAATATTTCATACTAGCTTAACAAGGAAGAACAAAGTTCAGCAGAGGGAGCAGTCTTGGTTAAATCGTATTTTGCCATCAAGTGAAGCTCTTTAGTTGTCGAATTTGATTCTTTAATAAGTTAATAGACAATAGGTAACTCAATTTGACAAAAAGTAAGTTCTGCTGAAGGAAGCATTTTAGCGTGTAATGATGATTTGATGACTTGCTTTTGGTAAGAATTATATGCATGGAAGCCAATGCTGTGCGGTTGCATTCACAATAGTATCCAAGAACTAAACAAAAAACTTCAAACAAAAATCAATAAAGACTAAGCTGTGGTAATGGTGGTCTATCTTAAATGAAAAGAAGACAGACTATTCAAGCTACATTATCTGAAGGGGTGTCACTTCATGACCAGAAACTGAACTTAGATATCTAGCAAAATTTAATGGAATGTGAAACATAGGATAAAATACTTTTGATAAAAGCATACAGCATGACTCGGTCAACAATTAAAGGATTAAACACATTTTTTCTAGAGGTTATTGATGTGTAAACTCGGGCGATTATCTCACAAACTAAATAAAAGTCTATAGGACTTTTATGTAAAGTTTTTGAGTAAGTGACCCAATTTACTATGACATCTATAACCTCTAGAAAAAATGTGTTTAATCCTTATAATTCTTAAGCCAAACATTTCCTTTTTTAATGAACAATGTTTTGTTTATTGGCTTCTATTTGCCATCAAATGCACAATTGACATGTCGTAAATAAGGAGTTAGCCGCCATATTGACTTTGTGACATCCATAAGTGTTCGATTTAATGCTATAGATTCTAAAATGAAATAACACCTACCTCAAAAACTACATTTTAATGAGATATTATCCTAAAGTGTACAAGTAACAGAATAATCATCAGCTTGAGAGTTTTCATTCGTTTGACGCCATGTTTTGCCATGACGTTAACGTGCCAAGATCATTAATGATATTTCGATGAATTTTATTTTATTTTACTTTCATACATTTTCCAAGCTTCAATACACTATTTCTTTTTGTTATGCGTTAAAAAAGAAATCGAAATTATGTATTTGTTTTTTAATCTCAATTTCCTCAGAACCCCTGGATCCCATGCATGAGTACCGCGCATGAATAGATCACAGTGAAGATTACGAAAGTAGTTTCGGCAACATGGTTTATCTAAGTGTAAACCAAAGCAAAATATTCTAACGGACCAATCTGATTCAAGTGTTTGTAGATATGCAAATTATATACTAAGTAAGAATTATTTAAAAAAAAAAGGAGATGCATGGAAACACACAGTACAGAGCAATTCAGCCTGCATTTCAAGCAAGAATGTCCAATGCACCTGTATATCAAATAACAAGGATGTGAATGGATTAATTTAAGAGAATTGGCTTTGAACCTGTAAATGAATGCTGCATCTACTATATAAGGTCTACTTAATAAACCTAAACTAAAATACCTTGCAAGGACTTCATCCATTGACAGCATAATTTTCATGGCTTTAAAGGTTTTTAAAATTTTGTAGTTTTTTTTTAAACTTAGGTTTTTTAAAACTGTTGGGATGTAGAATAATATATCCACATGCTTGTGATGTATACAAATCCGTATTGTTGTATTATGTTATGTTGTATATTATCCATAAAACCCAATTTGTCCATTGATTATGTGCTGTCTGATTCCATTTTGTTTTTATTTGTTTGTTTGTTAAATATTCTTTTCAAAAGCAAGAGTTCTTCTTAAATATTTAAATGTTTTCATACAGCCAGAGAAAATGGCTAGTATTCATATAATACAATTAATAGAATTTTGTTTTTATTAAACAATAAAATATCACAGTTAATTATCACAGATATATTTGAGGTAATATTCTTACAATATAACCAGCATACTCTTGTTTAATACACCTTTTCATCATGAAATATCAAAGTTAAGTGAGTCTGTATTACTCATCAGTCTCAAAACTAAACTTACTCTGTATACCTTTATTAAATTATGGAAAATTCTTGATGAATAGAAAAATAATACTTCATACTTTTCCAAACTTTGACATATAATTTGAAGCAATCTCATGAATTGTATTCTCTTTACTACAACTGCCATCTTGGTAAGTAAATATACAAGAAACAAGAAAAATTAATAGTACCTTTCATTGACCACATCAACCAAGTTTGTAACAAAATGGCTTAGCAGGTTCATTAACAATTTTCAATTTCTTTTTGGGCTAAATGGTGTTGTTTTATTTGCAAAAATAAAATGCTTCGCTGGGCGCAGCTTGATACGACCGCAGAGGTCGAACCCTGAACAGTTGGGGCAAGTATGGACACAACATTCAAGCTTGATACAGCTCTGAATTTGGATTGTGATTAAATATTTGACACAGCATAGGTTTCTGACACAGAAAGAATGTGGTCTAAGAACTTCAATTTTTTTAATTTACCTATTATGGTCCAATGTCCAAAATCAAAATACATGGTTAGATTCAGCATATCAAAGAACCCCATATATTCAATTTTTGTTGAAATCAAACAAAGTTTAATTTTGGACCCCAACTTGGACAAACTTGAAAACTGGTCCCATAATCAAAAATCTAAACACATGTTTAGATTCAGCATATCAAAGTACCCGAAGAATTCAATTTTTGTTAAAATCAAACTAAGTTTAATTTTGGACCCTTTGGACCTTAATGTAGACAAATTTAAAAAACGGGACCCAAAATTAAAAATCTAAAAACACGGTTAGATTTGGCATATCAAAGAACCCCAATAATTAAATTTTTGATGAAATCAAACAAAGTTTAATTTTGGACCCTTTTGACCTCAATATCAACCAATTTGATAGCGGGCCCACAAATAAAAAATCTAAATACATGGTAAGATTCAGCATATTAAAGAACCCCATATATTCAATTTTTGTTGAAATCAAACAAAGTTTAATTTTGGACCCCAATTTGGACCAACTTGAAAACTGGGCCAAAAATCTAAATACATGTTTAGATTCAGCATATCAAAGAACCCCATATATTCAATTTTTGTTGAAATCAAACAAAGTTTAATTTGGGCCCCAACTTGGACCAACTTGAAAACTGGTCTCATAATCAAAAATCTAAACACATGTTTAGATTCAGCATATCAAAGAACCTCAAAAATTCAATTTTTGTTAAAATCAAACTAAGTTTAATTTTGGACCCTTTGGACCTTAATGTAGACCAATTTAAAAAAACAGGACCCAAAATTAAAAATCTAAATACACGGTTAGATTTGGCATATCAAAGAACCCAAATAATTCAATTTTTGATGAAATCAAACAAAGTTTAATTTTGGACCCTTTTGACCTCAATATGAACCAATTTGATAGCGGGCCCACAAATAAAAAATCTAAATACATGGTAAGATTCAGCATATCAAAGAACCCCATATATTCAATTTTTGTTGAAATCAAACAAAGTTTAATTTTGGACCCAACTTGGACCAACTTGAAAACTGGGCCCATAATCAAAAATCTAAACACATGTTTAGATTCAGCATATCAAAGAACCCCAAGAATCCAATTTTTGTTAAAATCAAACAAAGTTTAATTTTGGACCCAACTTGGACCAACTTGAAAACTGGGCCCATAATCAAAAATCTAAACACATGTTTAGATTCAGCATATCAAAGAACCCCAAGAATCCAATTTTTGTTAAAATCAAACTAAGTTTAATTTTGGACCCTTTGGACCTTAATGTAGACCAATTTAAAAAATGGGACCAAAAATTAAAAATCTAAATACACGGTTAGATTCGGCATATCAAAGAACCCCAATAATTCAATTTTTGATGAAATCAAACAAAGTTAAATTTTGGACCCTTTGGACCTCAATGTGGACCAATTTAAAAACGGGGCCCAAAATCCAAAAACTTAATACACGGTTAGATTCAGCATATTAAAGAACCCCAAGAATTCAAGAATAAAACCCCATTGAAATTGATCAAGAAACAAGCAATTTATACGAAGTATCTTCTTTTGCACAATACTGTGCAATTGAATATTTCTTGCTATTGCGCAATACTGTACAATTGACAATTTCTTGCTATTGCGCAATATTGTGCTATTGGATATTTCTTGCTATTGCGCAATACTGTGCAATTGAAGATTTCTTGCTATTGCGCAATACTGTGCAATTGAAGATTTCTTGCTATTGTGCAATACTGTGCAATTGAAAATTTCTTGCTATTGCACAATACTTATTATATAATAATTTACACATCCTGTTTGGTGTGTATCTCCTACCATATCATTATTATTTGCTTTTAAATATAAATCAGAAATAACCAACTTAAAATGGAAAATTTTAAAAGAAAAAAAAAAAGGAAAAAAAGAAAAAAAAAAAAAAAAAAATCCCCCCCCCCAAATTTTTTGAACCCCCTTATGATTCATCACCCCTAAACTCAATCCCAGCCTTCCCTTTGTGGTATGGTACCTTGCAGTACAATTTCAGAGAGATCCATACACTTGAACACAAGTTATTGTCTGGAAACTAGAAAAATGCTTATTTTTGGCCCCTTTTTGGCCCCCAATTCCTAAACGTTTCGGGCAATTACCCCCAAACTCAATTCCAGCCTTCCCTTTGTGATATGGAACCTTGTAGTACAATTTCAGAAATATCCAAACACTTACACACAAGTTATTGTCATGAAACTAGAAAAATGCTTGTTTTTTGCCCCCTTTTTGGCCCCTAATTCCTAAAATTTTGAGGCAATTACCCCCAAAATCAATTACAGCCTTCCCTTTGTGATATGGAACCTTGTGGTACAATGTCAGAGAGATCCATACACTTACACACAAGTTATTGTCTGAAAGTTACAAAAATGCTTATTTTTGGCCCCTTTTTGGCCCCTAATTCCTTAACTGTTGGTACCATAACCCCCAAAATCAATCCCAACCTTCCTTTCGTGGTATTGAACCTTATGGTGAAATTTCATGGAGATCCATTCACTTAAACTAAAGTTAGAGTGCGAAAACCAATGTGTCTTCGGACGACGCCGGACGACGCCGGACGACGACAACGACGACGACAACGACGACGACGACGACGACGACGACGCCAACGTCATACCAATATACGACCAAAAAATTTTTAATTTTTGCGGTCGTATAATAAGTAAAATTATAAAGCAAAATACAACTTTTGCTCATTGAACAGTGAAACCTAGGTCAAAACCTTAATTTTAGCATATATTTTCAATAGTTTCCTTCATAATGAACATGTGAACTAAGTTTCAAGTTGATATGACAATGAACAATTGAAAATACCTCTAACCAAAGCTTTACCCTGATACGGGACTAGCAGATGGAATGTGCAGACTGGAAAACATAATGCCCCTTAATTATCATAGGTGAGCCATAATAATTGTTAGCAAAGTGAATATATTTCTATAACATTTACTACAAATGAATGACTCATTTGTTACTATAAATGAAGACATAAGATGCTTCTGTTTACAATTTACATGGTTAGTGTCATTTTCAATTCCTTAAATAATAGAAACTCTCACAGAGGCGGATTTAAAAAAAAAGGGGGGGGGGGAAGGGGGCAGAGTGCCCGGCCCACCCTTTTGTGGAAAAAATTTGGTTGATTATATAGGGAATGATTGAAGCATGACTGGAGCGGGCCCCTCTTAGGCAGTCAGTGGGCCCCCCTTATAAAAATTTCTGGATCCGCCACTGTCTCATCTATACTTATTATTATTTAGTATAGCTACAATGTGTTCATCTTTTATAACTATCTCAAAGAGTTTAATTTCTGATACAATGTTTCTGCACTCAAAAATTAAAAAAAAATCTGGAAAAAAAGTGTTTTCGATTAAGTGTTTCTCATCAAAAAATATAAAAGTATTTTAATTTGTAATTATTAAAGTTCTCATTACACAAGAAATTAATGTTTGTTTAATTTCCCTGATCACTCATTTTTACAAAATCAAAACGAATTGTAGAAATTTACACTACCAGTTGCTACAAAACATTGATGAAAGACTCAAAACACTATAAATAAAATGCTTCGCCGAGTGCAGACTGATACGACCGCAGAAGTCAAACCCTGAACAGTTGGGGTAAGTTTGGACACAATATTCAAGCTTGATATTGTCTGAATTTGGATTGTGATCAAATTTTGGAAATAATATAGGTTTCTGATACAAAATAAATGCGGCCAAAAATCTTAAAAATTAGAAATGGGACATTTAATTTACCTAGTATGGTCTGATACCCAAAATCTAACAACATGTTTATAAAAAAAACACCAAAAATTTAATTTTAGTTGAAATAACACAGTTTAATTTTGGACACTTCAAACCTTAATATGGACTAATTTGAAAACAGGGCCCATAATAAAAAATCTAAATGCACAATAAGATTCAGCATATCATAGAGCCACAATAATTCAGTTTTTGATGAAATCAAACAAAAGTTTAATTTTTGACCCTTTGGACCAAATGTAGACCAATTTAAAAATGGGGCCCAATATCCAAAATAGTAATACAAGGTTAGAACCCCAAAAAATTAAAGACTTTAAATTAATCCCACTGAAATTGGTTAAAAGATTTGAATTTATTTTCAATTGAAGATTTCTTGCTATTGCGCAATACTGTGCTATTGCGCAAAACTGTGCTATTGCGCAATACTGTGCTGTTGCACAATACTTAGTTAATCTGTTATATAATAATTTACACACCCTGTTTGGTGTGTATCTCCTGCCATATCAGTATTTGTTGCTTTTATTTATAAATCAGAAATAATCAATGTAAAGATGGAAAAATTTTGGGTAAAAAAAAAAAAAAAAATTATGAAAAAATGGTGTAAACTATATAACAAATATCAAGTCAATATCTTCAAGAATGATGAAAAAAAGTGTGGAAAACTTGATTATTTGAGTGAATTTTTTAAGTCCAAGGACCATAACTCTGCACAAAATCATCAGACCGGTACAAGATTCGAACTTGATCTGTAACTTGTCATGATAAAACTATATACCAATTATCAAATCAATATCTTCAAGCATGACGAAAAAAAGTGTGGAAAACTGATTATTTGAGTGAATTTTCTAAGTCCAAGGACCATAACTCTGCACAAAGTCTTCAGATCGGGACAAAATTCGAACTTGATCTGAAACTTGTCATGAAAAAATGATACCAAATATCAAATCTATATCTTTATATTTAAACCATACATATCTCACCCCTAAGAACCATTACAAAATATTCAAGTAGATATTGTGTTTGAACTGTATCTGGTTTATTGTGTCAACACAATAACATGTTGAAGGAAAATCCAGAAAATGCTGAATATGAATTGTATGTTTCTGAAATTCCAGTTGACAGCCTTGAAATGGACAAACTGCAGAATTTTGAACCAATTATCCAAAGTCTGTAAACAGAGTTTCCTAAAAAAGAGCCTTTTAACTCTGTTATATTCAATTTCACATCATTCAAATTATATCTTAATAAACAAAGAAATTATCTTTTATGATAAAAATTAGAGAAAAATTTTAGTGGATATTTTTTACCTAGTTCCATAGCTTTAATAAAAATCACATATTTATCAATGTTGGAAACTGCAAGAGAAGGGCTTTTTTTTTTATAGCAATCACATGATGAAAAATATTGATAATGGATCTGAACATCATGAGACTAAAACAGGTAACAAGTGTACATTTTGGTCTTGTCTTATCTTGAGTCTGTAACATTTTCATCACTTCTGCAAATGCTTAGCCACCTTCCATAAATTTGGTCTTTTCCTTTCCTGAAATGATAAAATCTGGCACTGTTAGCTTTTTAAATAGTATTGCAGATTAACAGATGCAGAAAGATCATAAAGTACAATTATTGAAAGAATGTGCAAGCATTAAACAATATCGCTATGTATTTAAATGTTCAGGTCTTTTATTTTTGGTGTTATGCACCCATCTATTATTTGGAAGAACCAACTGTAATTCAAAACAAAGTATATATACTGTGGATTCATTTATCTGTTCCTGGGTACCAATTTTAGTGTATGAGGAAAACTTTCATATTTGTGAATATTTGATTGCATGGTTCTGCTTAAGTCAGCATATATTCATATAGAACATTTGTAATTTGGTGAGCCTTTAAATTCTTGGTTTCCCTGTACCAATGAAATACCAGCATTGATTGTGTGCTGGCTTTTAAACCTTTACAATTTCTAAAATAGCATTATCAAGAATAAGGACAAACTACCATATAGATAAGGATGTCCTTTATTACTGTCAAAACATATATATATATATTTTTGCACCTCATGTTTGCGGTATACCATCTTTTCTGCATGTTTATTGTTTTCTGTTTGGTATTAAATTAATAATTAAGATCCATTTTGTTACATCTGGTGATTCGTTTATTTGGCAATCGCCATGGCAGTCAGCAGGGTTTAAGAACATCTGTTGTTCGACCTGCTAGTCAAAGGCGTTTTGTTAAAATATACTTTTTCACTTTTTTGGTCTTTTGGAAAATGTTGTTAGACCCCTCTACCAAGAAACTTGTTTTGCATGCACACGTATAAAAATTGCTGTTTTTATCCAACGCAATCATAGATTTGAACATTGTTTTCAATTTAGACTTGTTTATATTTTTTTCGTTTGGGCTTGTATTATATTTGCCTTCAGGTTTATATAATCCGTTCATCCTATTATGACTCTTCAAAATTCAAGAGTCAATCCTAAATTGAGGTAAATTACATGGCCTTCCAAATACCATTTCGATTCCTAACATTACTAAAGAGACATTAATTGTTGAAATCAGGATATGGTGTACAAATTTTTGCACCTCATGTTTGCTGTATACCATCTTTCCACATGTTTATTGTTTTGTTTGGTATTAAATTAACAAGCATTCTGAGAGGATTGCATGGCAATACATAGTTCCCTACCAGTTAAAAATTAATTGTACCAGAACAAAATGCTAACTTGATCTATAACTTGTCATGGTGTAAACTATATAACAAATGTCAAGTCAATATCTTCAAGCATGTCGAAAAAAAGTGTGGAAAACTGATTATTTAAGTGAATTTTCTAAGTCCAAGGACCATAGCTCTGCACAAAATCATCAGACCGGAACAAAATTCGAACTTGGTCTGTAACTTGTCATGATAAATCTATATACCAATTATCAAATCAAAATCTTCAAGCATGGTGAAAAACAGTGTAGAAAACTGATTGTTTGAGTGAATTATCTAAGTCCAAGGACCATAACTCTGCACAGAATCATCAGACTAGAACAAAATTCAAACTTGATCTTTAACTTGTCATGATAAAACAATATACCAAATATCAAATCAATATCTTCAAACATGAAGAAAAAAAGTGGAAAACTGACTTGCCGGACTGAGGAATGGACAGACAGAGGGACGAAGGCAAACCTAAAGTCCCTTTCCACTTCATCGGTAGGGGACTAATAATTAAGATCCATTTTGTTACATCTGGTAATTCGTTTATTTGGCAATTGCCATGGCAGTCAGCAGGGTTTAAGAACATCCATTGTTCGACCTACTAGTCAAATGCGTTTTGTTAAAATATACTTTTTCACATTTTTGGTCTTTTGGAAAATGTTGTTTGTGCTGTATTTAGACCCCTCTACCAAGAAATTTGTTTTGCATGCACACGTATAAAATTGCGGTTTTTATCCAACGCAATCATAGGTTTGAACATTGTTTTCAATTTAGACTTGTTTATATTTTTTCGTTTGGGCTTGTATTATATTTTCCTTCAGGTTTATATGATCCCTTCATCCTATTTCGACTCTTTAAAATTCAAGAGTCTATCCTAAATTGAGGTAAATTATATGGCCTTCCAAATATCGTTTCGATCCCTAGTATCACTGAAGAGACATTAATTGTCGAAATCCGGACATGGTGTACAAATTTTTGCACCTCAGATTTGCGATATACCATCTTTTCCGCAAGTTTATTGTTTTCTGTTTGGTATTAAATTAATAGTTAAGATCTATGTTACATCTGGTGATCAATTTATTTGGCAATTGCCAATGGCAGTCAGCAGGGTTTAAGAACATCAGTTATGTTTTGTTAAAATATACTTTTCACTTTTTGGTCTTTTGGAAAATGTTGTTTGTGCTGTATTTAGACCCCTCTACCAAGAAATTTGTTTTACATGCACACATATAAAAGTTGCGGTTTTTATCCAACGCAATCATAGGTTTGAACAATGTTTTCAATTCAGACTTGTTTATATATATATATATATATATATATATATATATAATTCGTCTGAATAACAGCCCAACATGAAAAATGTCAGAATATTGGTCTTCACCAGACTAGAAGTTGGAAAAGATTTTGGTGCAGACTATTTTTAAGCTGGATAAAAATAGCAGCATGTGAGCAGATCAGCACAAGCACACAGTAATATAATTTATATGTCATCACTAGGATTAGATAAATACTTCCTAAAACTAACCTGAACTATCCCTGTCCTGAATCCAAAGGAACCAAGTCAGTCATGAGAATATCAGAAAGGTACATGTACTATAGTAATTAAGGTAAAGTTATGTTTCAACAAACCTGATGTCTATCTCCAAGCTGAATCAAAGGAACAACAGATGGTCTACCATGGGCACATTGGAAAGGCAGTTTACATTTAGTCAATAACTTCAAAAGTTCCTCACACTCTGGTAAGGTCAAAGAATCTCCAAATTTAATGGCTCCTAAAATTTGTTATTTTGAATTAATAAGCAGATTAGATACAAGACCTGTCAGGTAAGCAAGATCAATAACCACTTTTCTGGAAAAAAATCCAAAGAATTTTTGAACTCTCCTCTAATGCACATCTTTATACAAGGATAAAATGGTGTACATTATCTATTTACATACAAAATGTACAATAAACCCAAAAGGGAACTTGCAATGGCATGAATTTTCATTGACTAATTAATTTGGTTGCAATGAAAGAGAGAGTACATATATGTAAATCAAGCCATTAGTTTTCTTGTTTGAATTGTTTAACTTTTGTTGATTCAGGACCTTTTATAGCTTGCTTTGTGGTATTGGTTTTGCTCGCTGTCCAAGGATTTATGTTGACTTATTGTTACTAACTACTATATTGTTTGGTCCCTGGTTGAGAGTTGTCTCATTTGGCAATCATACCACATCTTCTTATTTAATAATGAAATACTTCAACAAAGTCTGAAATCATTTGTTGATCACTATTTAGACTATACATCAACAGGCATCTGATACATTTCTAGAAAATACTACCAGATGTCCTGCCAAGTATTTACTGGTTTTTATATAAAAGGAGATCTATATTTATTAATTTTTTTCTTCTATTAAAGTTCTTTCAATGAATGAAAATTGTCTGTAAATGACAAATCTGAACAGATTACCATGACAAGCTTGTGAACAGAGTGCTTTATGTATCGTGTTTGGCATTCTTCCTCTTGAACCTCTGGTATCTTGTAAAACCTAAAACAGACAAAAATATAATAATATTGTAGTGTCGAAATAGTATTTATATACAATCATTGGTTTCTTACTTTAACAACATTTATGGAAAAATGTTCAAATACTGATTCCTTAAACCCCAATTTTAATAATTGGATACTAGTATCTTTAAATTATTTTCCCTGCATTGTTTTAAGATTTACCTATTTAAAGTGATATAAGCCTCAGGTTATACAGTATAAGACTTACCTCAGCATATTCTTTTATTAAAGCCTGCAAAGTACATTAATATATTAATGAAAGGAAATTAGTTTTGAAAACTAAAAAGAAAAAATATTTTACTCTATAAACATGAAGCAGCAATATTCTTAGTGCCAAATATTTGATTATCATAAAATCCCTATCTAAAATCTGATTCTGTTAATTTCCAAACTCGTTACCTAAAATAGACCACCAAAAACTTTCTTGTATTCCTCGTTTTTACAGAAGCTCTTGGTAGAAGTAATAGTCTAAGAGTAAAAGTGGTGAAGTTATAAGAAAAAATAATTGGAGGAAGAATACTTCACTTTATAATAGAAAATTCACAAATCTGAGATCAGTGTTGAGGATAAAATATGTATTTGGTATACCAAGGTATATATAATGATACCTATTTAACAATAGGCAAGCTTAAAAATTAGTTTGAGTTTAGTTATTCAAACAGATTTAGTGTATTTTGTCGGAAATCAATATTGACCACTGTAAATATTCTGTTACGCTACAACTGATCTATACTCTCTATTAAAATATCTTACTTTTATTAACAGTACATTTACAGTGAAAAAAAATGAAGCAATTGTCTTCAAACATAAAGCAATAATATTAAATAAAAACAAAAACTAACCTCTGCAGCTTTTATTGCAGATGTCTCTTTTTTCATCTTCCCACTACTAAGATCCTTCTGTGCAAAACATGAGGGAACTGTATGCAGAATGATCCTATCTCGTTTCTTCTTATCAGATGAAAATCTTATGCCTATGAACCAAATAAATTTTTAAATATATCACATTTAAATATTCCATTTAAAAAAAAAATTTCAATGGCTGACAAAAACAAAGTGAAGAAATGGAAACTTGTGATACACGACAATTGCAGATATTTAGTTCATTCAAAAAATATGTTACTACCTTCTGAATAGCGTTTCATTATAGAATACAAGAAGAATGTGTCTGAGGACAAAAATGCCCCTGCTCAAGCTTTGCAATTTTCAAATTAAAAAGAGGCATAACTCTAGAACAGTAAATGACTCACAACCGTTGTGATTCTTAGCATAAAATTTGCAAGAGGCAAACTAAAGTTAGAGTGAGAAAACAAAAATGGGACGGACGGAAAGGACGGTCAAGGGCAACATTTAATGCCCCAATTTCCTAAGGTGGGAGCATACAAAATTGTCACTAGAAATCAACATTACTCTGGTTAAACAGTTTTATTCAAGTGATTTTTACTTAGTTTTCACTAATAATGTTTGAATAGCATCCATCTTATTTTTTCAGAAAAAACTAAATTTGAAAATTAAAAAAACTTTAACTGAAAAATTTTGATATTTCTTAAAACTGTATGCTAGAAATCAACAGCAGGTAGGTGTACTAAAGTGGTTGCATTTAACATTACAGTGTGTTGAATTTTTTGCAATTTCATCACATAATTAAAATAAACCAAAAGATGACTTTGAGACATCATTGACTGAAATCATAATTGCGGGTCAAACGAACTAAATCATCTCAGTAAGGTTCTTATTCATGTGAACACCTATAGAACAGGACTGTAAACATTACCTATTCTCCTAAATTCTTCTGCAAATGATGTGATGACTCTAATAACCTCTTCTGGAAAGGTCAATTCTTCATCTGATACAAGTTCTGTACAGCATATAATTTTTTCACCATCCTTCACATCATAGGCATAGGCCTCTAAAATCATATAAATAGTAAGATGCTTTATTTCCTGATCAAAGACCCTTATCTGGCATATAAGTTCCTGAGTTAGGTGTTAACACAACCATCCAATAGTGCATAGGGGACAACAAATTATGTCTACATTGTAAATTACAATTTGCCTGTTGAGTAATTAGAAATTATAATTCAACCATGAATTCAAGGTATCCACTATTTACAGGAGATTCAGACTTACTCTTTGTTCATAAAACTAGAACATTGTCAAGAGGATCAATAAATGGAGCCGTGCCCACTGTTTGTTTGAAAGCTTACAACAAAAAATTGTATGTGTTGTCTTGGTTACATACCCCAACTTGTAATTCAAAGTATGGGAAAACAAAAAGAAGACATCTGACAGAGAGAAAAAAACTGCTCACACTTTATAAGTCATCAGTCTAGCTGCTGACCTAATATGAAGTCATTTTGTTCAATAGTAATGGGAAAATACGAGACAAAAACAGTGTTTTCCCCAATATTTTTATATATCACCATAGGATTTGAAAATAGCACTGTTTCCCTTAAATTATAGCACCACATTCATAATACATTCTATCATAAAATCTGCTCAGAAAGCACCATGGTAAATAAATGGAGAATGTGTTCATGGGACACAGATGATGCCCCTGCTTGCATATAATGATAAAGGGACATAACTCAAGAACGGTTAAAGGGACGTAACCCAAATTCAAACTTGATCTGTGTTTTGTGGTAATAAGCATTGTGTATAAGTTTCATAACATTTGGTTGAGGCAATCTAAAGTTAGAGAACAGAAACTAATTTTGGAACATACAAACAGACAAGGGTAACACTTAATGCCCCCTCTGCTGTGGCAGGGGCATACAAATATAGCACCATGGCAACATGATGCTTAAAAGCCCTGGGGAGAACACTGAAAAATATTAAGTTCAGTTAACATATTGAAAAATTCAAAGTATCTGAAAACAGAAGTTGTCTGGCAGATGTGAAAAGTGCTTACATATTACAACTTATCACTGTGAAACTGCTGCTGACTAAATACAAAGACATTTTATTCAGCAGTAACTGAGAAAAGAAATATTTCTTGAAAGAACAGACAGATAGATTGCAATATAGCCTCACTCCAAAAAATTACAGCATAACTTTTTTATACTGATTTTTACCTTTGGTTAAAGTTTCAAGTCGAATCCTTTCATGAGCTGCATGTTGGTCAATCAAACACAGCATTTCATTATCACTAGAGTTGTTTTCTGTAGATATAAACCATGTTCAAGTGAATTTTACTTTTTAAGTGTAACAATCTGTTGTATTTATAGTATTTTTTTTAACAAGACCCTTGAAATTTTGACATTTGTAACTTATACTGATTATTTATACTGACTAAACAAACATTTTTATCTTTTTCTGTTGATTTAAAAAAAAGCATGTTGTAATTGAAAAAAATCTTCCCACTAGGGAAAATACATTTATTTTTACATATAACATGTAAAACTTTAAATGATTAAAAAAGGTAAAATGAAAATTACAGGTTGACTAACACATTGTGTAAATTAAAAAAATATTCAAAAGTGGCATTATGTATGAGACAGCATGAATTCAAATCATTGTAGCACAATTTCAATTTTAAATTAAAAGTATTCAGTGAAATTTCATTACCCGTATTTGGGCCTCAATAATACTATTATCTGCCAAAATGTTATCCCTTGCTCTGCTTCTATATGTTTAGGGTAAAATTTGCATGCAAACAAGATATTGTCAAGATTATAACAAAACAATATGATGTCATTAAATATGTCTTAGATTTTTTAATATTGCTTTTTGTCAATCCTAATTTTCATATGCTTTAATGCTATAACATACCTCCAATTTGCAATGAACATGCAATAAACTTGTTATCAACCTGTCCAAGTACCTGCAATATGTAAAATTTGTAGAACTGAGTTACAGTACCTATACAATATTGACTAAGTGTTTATGAGCTCATATTTATCAAATTATTACAACTTAAAAACTGCAAGTCAATGCAATATTTGATTTAATTAATTTCCATCAAATTATGACTAAATTTTATAACTTAAATAGATTTCACTATACATTTTGTTACTACAATGTCTAATATAAGTAAAATCAAAGCGCTTGTAAGCACTGAATGGTAAAGATTGCTTTAATTTATCAGTGGCATTGGTTGTAGTTGATTCCACTACAATTCTGGACAAAGGAAGATAAATCTCAAAAAAAGTGATAAACCTTGGAAGATTTAGATATCAAGTCAGTACCATAAGGTTTTGATTGCATTTCATGCAATCTTTACCCAAAAATGTAATTATATTGGTTCCCATACATCAAGGGCCACAACAGTCATATTTGCCAGTCAGGATCAATTTTGGGACATCCATACCTAAGACAAACATTTTCTGGTTTTTGAAATCAGAGATTTGTGGTTTTTCATTGTACAATGAACAACAATTTTAAGACTTACTTGAGCCAACATCATGTAAAATAATAAATGTGTCTACAATCGCACTTGAAGAAAAAAATGCAATCACTTATTTTCAGTTAGAGAACCGAGTCAAGTCATGATTCCCTCTCCGTGGATTCTTGGTTAATTTTATTTACATGTTGTAGTGTGTTGTTGTTTGAAATTTTAGGCTGGTTTTTGGTCGAAACATTTTTGTTTAATCTAAACATATTGTGGTGCGTTGTATGAATATTTACTGACTCTAAATTTAGTTGTGTACAGTATATGCAAAAAAGTATAAAAAAATGTTAAATACAGGCTGTGTACTCTAAAAAGCATCTAAAAACTACAAAAATGAATGAATTCTAAAGACAAATTTCAGAAGTTTATATTGTAACAAACAAATGTCACATCACATAACTTTGTAGTTTTTAAGGAATTGTTACTCATAAAACCCAGTCTCTAAATTTAGTAATATAGAAGTTATTTGAATCTAGTTTACCTTAAAATTCTGTAACATATCTTTATCAAAGACACATGGATTCAATGCTTGATGAGCTTTGGTACTGGCTCTTGTCATGTGACTTATCTGTGTTGTTGGCATGCTCTGTAATACAAACAAAATAAAGCAAGCCAGCTTATGAAATAATAGCAGTCTCAAGGGCTGGTAGCAACGTTCTCTGCAGTAGGATAATATAGCCTAAAATACTTGACTTTTGAGGATAGAGGTATTCTCTGCATGCAGTGGTTTTATATTGCCTCAGATACTTGAGTATTAAGAGTTGAGAAAGTCTCAGATCTCTGAAACGAGTAGAAATTTTCTCTGCATATGGTTCAGAAATGAAACATCTTTTACCAAATAGTGAGACATCAATAACTCAACAATGACAAAACATTTTCACACTTCTGAGACTGCTAAAATCAAAATAAATCATAAAATAGTAAATACAACTACTTAAGTGTATATGAAATAAAGAGGCATAACTCTAGAACAGTAAAAGTGACACCACCAAAACTCAAACTTGATCTGTATTTTGTAGTAATAAGCATTGTGTATAAGTTTCATAACATTTGGTTGAGGCTAACTTAAGTAAGAGAATGGAAACGAAAAATTCAGCAATTTTCCCATTTGTGAAGGGGCATAACTCTAGAACGGTTAAAGTGACACCACCAAAATTCAAACTTGATCTGTATCTTGTGGTAATAAGCATTGTGTATAAGTTTCATAACATTTGGTTGAGGTAAACTAAAGAAAGAGAACGGAAACGAAAAATTCAGCAATTTTTCCATTTGTAAAGGGGCATAACTCTAGAACGGTTAAAGTGACGCCACCAAAATTCAAACTTGATCTGTGTTTTGTGATAATAAGCATTTTGTATAAGTTTCATAACATTTGGTTGAGGCAAACCAAAGTTGGAGAACGGAAACCAACTTTGGGACGTACGGACGGACAAGGGTAAACTTAATGCCCCCTCCGCTACGGCGGAGGCATAAAAATAATTAAAATAATCCTTCAATGTATCAGCTGTATATAAAGGATAAAATAAATCAACATTCAATGGTATCAGTGAAGCTGAAAGGAAACACGGCTAAAGAAATTCTAGGGTAAACCCTATGCTTTATACTTTATTTGGCCTTTAACCTTTATTTATCATTGATATATTCGTATTTATAAATTAACTGTTTACAAATTTGTTTGAAATACTAAGGATTTTATACCCCAGGAAAAGATTACCATAGCTGTATTAGGCAAAACCTTTCAGAATTTTCTTCAACTTCATACTTTGTTTAGCTTTTCAACTTTTTTTATTCAAGCGTCACTGATGAATCCTTTGTAGACAAAACGGGCGTCTGGTGTACAAAATTATTAGCCTGGTATCTTTGACGAGTTGGGTTTTTATTGTATATAAAGACTATGTAGAAGTGTTTAAGAAATGTTCACATTAATGCTGAAGACATATACCTTTGCTGGCATATTAAAAACAGGATTTTCCCATTCTTTAAACAGATCCTCTACTTTTTGTGTTTCTGAAAATAAAAAAATCAGTGTTAACTTTATATATTTTAGAGAAGATGTCATACATAAGAAAAACTAAATATAGCTCCTTTCCATGGGTTAAAACATTTGCAAAATAAAACCAACTCTGAAACAAATAAGAATTTTGTGTTTTTCAAATAGCTGACAAACTATGAACTTAATAACAAGAATTTGTGTTCAATGGACACCATGTCCTGATAGCATGATCACAATGGGTGAAAACCCTAATTTAGCATTAATTATTAAAATTTCACACCATTATGAACATGTGTAATAAGTTTCAAGTTGATATGGAAAAACTATCTTAACCTGAAACTTTACCTAATATGTGACGACCCTTATGGACAGATAGATGAAGTTTGTTTAACATGTAAATTATAACTAAAGCAATTTTATTTACCATAACTGAATCAAAGCTTACCATTGTTAATTTGGTCTGCATTTTTCCACTTCACAGAGCCTAGATCATCATCATCCTTAGATAAATGTTGATCCATTAAACTCCTTAAAGATTTACTGGATTCCGGAGATAAATCTGGAAAATTTCTTCCTTTTTGTACAGGTGTGAATTGATCATCTACAAAGAACATCTTAACTATTGTTACAAAATTTTAAATATTTCACAAAATCTTTAATCTTTCAGGATCAATTTTCCCCCTTTTTGTGACAATTTTTACAATATAAAGATATCTACATTTGACCTTTTGTGTAGTACATGTACCTGTTTGATGTTCGATGCTGTCCTCTGGAGGTGTCCATTCTGTTGATTTAACACTGTGTCCACTTCTTGTATTGACATACAATTTAGTTCCTGAAAAAACACATGTTTTTCTTCTGTATTAAACTTACATTTATGTCAACAAAATTAAATATTTGAAATATGTATATATATATATAATGTGGAAACCTTATTGCTATTGACTGACAAAATCATTTAGTTTCCCAGAATATTTTTTTAAGAAAAAAAAATTGAACAATGTGTAGAATTGTCTCGAATTTACAGGTGCGAAAGATCTAAAAGTGACTTTTAAAAGAAAGAACAGCATTGTAAAAGTTAAAGGTCCTGTTTTCTTGCTTTTCATAATAAGTGTTAAAGACCTGAGGCTCTTTTCAAAAAAATTGATCATAAGTTATACTAATATGTTCATGACTTGGAGAGTATTTTTTTCTCTTGCGATATTTTGTGAAATTGATCGCTGATTTCTTTCTTTTCATTATCAGTATTACAGACCTCATTCATGTCATTTAAAGCGATGTCTTATGTGCATCTACATTTTTTCTAATTTATCAATTTTCCTGTAATGAGCATACCACATACTTACCAGATGTAGGATCTGTCATTTCTATCCAGGTTTTACAATCCAACTGTACATTTCTAAGTTCTGAATCACCGTCAGGAGAAAAGCAATCATCCATGGTGATACTTTTAGCTTTAGAACATGGTGTAGTAATTAAACTTGTTGTATTATTGTCAATTGTTGTTACTTGGGTTTCAACTTCTTTCAATTCAATGTCTCCTTCAGGAGAAAATAGTTCTGCATCTGTTCTCACTGTTGATGACAGAGAAGGTGAATGGTTAATGATTTTTTTTTCACCAATATTGACATCTTTGCTACCATTATATGTATCTGACACTTCTCCGAGTATTTCATCGGTTTCTGACATACTTGTACTAGTAGGATCAGTTTTGCTGCAATGTTTGTTTGGAATTTTTTGGCTGTTGTTAGCATTAGAGTCAAACATTTCATCAGAACTCTGAGAAACCAAAGGTGTGTTTTCAGTGATAGAATGTGCATTAGATGAACTGTTCTGGGGCTTGTAGTAACAACTTGTTGAATCTGACTTTGACAATATCTCATTAGATAAATAATAACTGCCTTCAAAATTTGTCCCTGAATATTCTTTATGAATGATATTATTTTCTAATAATGAGTAGTTTTTACTTGCTGGAGTTGATGTTTTTTCAGTGTCTAATAAGAACAACCTCTTTGGCATATAAACTGATGGCATTTCATGTTCCATCAAATCTTCTGATTTTTCAGTAAGTCTACTCTTCACTTCCATACTTTTGATTATACTAGATGTTTGATCTGTTATAATGTCGTAGTCACTAGAGCAAGCATTTTTCCAACTCTGTGGTTCTTCTAATGCCTTAGTTTTCTCCAAATGTGGTTCACTGTTGTTTTGAGAGTCTTCTTCTGAGTCCATAGATGGCAAAAATCCTTCAGTTTCTAATATAGGTGAAGATTCCTCTGTATCTATTATAGGTGAAAATCCTTCAGATAAACATGGTGAAACTGATGTCTTTTTCTCAAAATAAGGAACAAATTTCTGGAATTCAATGTCAATTTCATTATCATCATCATCTGAGATTTCCATTTCTTTGTAATTGGTGGCAATGCCACTATCTTCTAACAATTCCTGTGTTTGTCTGTAGAAAGGTTGAAATTCATCCACGTCAGGCATGGTTTCATTGCATATTAATGAACTGTCTATTTCATTGTCATAAGTTATTTTTTCTTTTTTACACATAAATTGCATATAAACATCAAATGGCACTTCATTGTTATCACAGATATGTTGATTATCACATGTTTGAGGAACCCCCAGAGTTTCTGATTCGGCAACATCAAAATAAGACAAAAAACTGAGATCTTGATTTTTGGATGCAAATTTGGATACTGAATATATTTCATTGGATTTTTCATTTGATCCACAACTATCATGTTCTTCTGTATCAGATTCAAGTCCTTTGTTTGTAATATCCCTGTCTAAGCACAAGGACTCAAATCTGCTTTTACTTTTCAAAGAAAAGTTAGAATCGGATAAATGTTCTACACAGCTGGAGTTAGGTACAGTCAAATTATGTAGTGATAATGGTTGATTGATATTTGAACTGTTTTGATTCAAAGTGAAAGTTGATCTTTGCCTGACTGACATGTGTGGTGTTGAAGTTGTATAACACATATCAGCATCAGTGGATTTTTGCTTAGTTTCTATTGTATAAACTCCTTGCTTGACAGTATCACCACAAGGTATGTGGTTAACTGGTGTTGTGTTGAAACTTTGACTGCCTTCTGTTGGTAAAAATGTATGAACAGTTTGTATGAATCTATCAGAACTCATGAAAGACTTGGGTTTACTTTTTTTCTCCTCTGATATGGTTGTAAAGTTTTCATATTCTCTTGATGGCGAAAATTTTAATGGCTTCTGTGGAATATTTATTGAATTACTTCTGTTATTTGATTTTGAAATTATATTTTCAATTTCTGCAACACAGTTTTCAATGGACTCACATGCCTCTTCAATATCAATTGGACTGGACTTTGAAAAATCTTTACTGGTTGATGGTTGAAGTTCATGATGCATTTCAGAAATTGTACTAGTATACTTCAAAGAATCTGCCTGATCATTTAATCTATCATCATCAATCTTGTTTCCAAGAACTGGTTGGCAATGAAATTTTTCATGAGGTTTTAAAGAAGTCAAATTACAAACAGAAGCTGATGAGTCACTTTTGCCATCTTCAAACAGGTTTTCATTGTGATGATGAGTTTGTCTTACATGTTTAATAGTTGTGTTTTCCACCAAATTTCCAGGAGCAGGTTCAGCATTAGTGACAATTCTTTCATTTTTTTCATCACAATTACTTGACAAAGTTCCTGACATATCATTACCTTGTTGTGCATTATTTATTGGTTGGTTAGTGACTTGATCTAATTTTGTGATCTGACTTTGTAACCTATACTTCCTTAGTGCCTGAAGAGAATGTTCAGATATCTGACCTTTCATACTCCCAGGTTCTTTACTCCTAAGCTTCCTTAGTCCTTGTAGTGAAGAGGTGAAAACAGGTACATCATTTTGCATTTCTCCAAACTCAGTACTACAATTTTTGCTATTGAAGTCTGGGTCTTCTAGAATATCAGCTGTAGTGTCTGTCTGTTGTTCTTCTGAACACTTTAGTTCTTTTAACTTTGTAAATTTCTTTTGTTTTTCTAGAAGGGTCTTTGTTAATAAAGTACAATTTTCTGAACTCTTTCTTTTTCTGAGTTTAGATAAAGATGACACATTAATTTTAGCTTCCCTTACTATAGGTGTATCAATACAAATAATGTTTTTCTTAGTGGACATTTTGACCCTTTGCTGGGTTGGTATTGGATCTTCACTTAATTCACCATCACTGCAGCTATCTTTTCTTTTTGAGCTTGTGTTGTCTTCACTGATTTCTTTACCCAAACATGTGCTTCCATTACTATGTGATTGTGTTTTAATGGGTGAATTAAAAACAACAGGTTTAGGAGAACCCGGAGTTGTAACCTTCATTTGCTGATCTGAAGGGGTGAAAAGTTCATCATTGTTGTACATATCAATGGTATCATTTGTATTTGATTCTTTTTCATCACTTGTTAAAACACTGCCAGGACTTTCACTAGATGATGATAAGTCAGATATTACTTTTCTTTTCACAATTTTTGAAAACAATCCGTTTCTATCTTTCGTACTTATTTCTGGTTTAAATTTCAGCCCAACAACATCTGTTTTTGAAGCTCCTTCTTTTTCATTTTTGTCGTCCATAAAATCTTTAGGATCTTTCTTCACAAAATTTTCTGCAAGAATCCCTAAGTGAAGATTGTATTTCTTTAGAAAATCCGTCACAGTTTTCTCTAAGCAATGTTGAAGTAAATCAAAGTCTTTGAATTCAACAAGGGTTTTGGCTGGTTCAAATGTTATGTCATATTCTTTGTAAGGACAGGTAACATTTAATACGTAAATACCATGTTGATCAGTAGTCTTAGTTGGACTTGTATTCATAATGTGACCCCTGAATTTATTAGTAGATAGCTCAAGTTTCCTTCTCAATATCAATGACTTTGATAGTTGATGATTGACAACTTTATGCAATTTCGTTTTGAGAACAGTTCTCCCATTTATGTAAATGAACTGATAATCCTTTTTATTGGCACCTTTTTTCCCTATGTACCCCTCAATAGCAAAATCAACCTCTTTTCCTGAAACCTCTGTCAGACTTTTGGATTTACCAGGTCCAAACAGATAAGTAAATGTATTCAAAATACTATTTGTTTTATGAGTTTGTAAAACCACATGACCAGACACGTCATTTCGCAAAGACAAAGAAACAGATGGTTTTATAAGAGCAATACTCTCAACTTTCTGTCGAATCTTTTCTAGGTCCAATGCTGGATTACAGCATTTCTTTCTGACTGGTAAGTTGTAGAACAGATCATGTACTGTAACAGTGGTCCCTGCGCTTGTTCTTGGAACAGTAGAATCAGATATTGGCAGTGCTCTCCCTTGTTGAAATATTTTACAAAAAGTCTGCGTACTGGTTTGTGAGCGAGAGTTGATCTCTAATATACTAGTAATATCTCGAAGACTGGCCAAAGCTTCACCTCTGTACCCATAGTAATGCAAATTTTCTAAATCACTTACTTCATGGCATTTACTGGTCGCATACCTAAAAGGATTTTAAAAAATTTAACCCAAAAAGAATCAATTTTTTATGTTCAAGTAGTAATATCTATACATCTCAATGGAGCAAAACTATTGTTTTCATTTCAATATGAAAACATGTGTATCTTACCGGTAATTGTAATTTTAGATTTATGTCCACAACAAGAAAGTCAAGGACATCTATCAACCTTATAATCTAACATATAACAGTTAGATATAAATTCATTAATATTTACTGACTATTGTAATGAAGGATATTTTTCAGACTTCCATTATTTTTCAGTAACATTTTGTTAACTACAACATGTGTTGGCCTCATTCCAGGCATCAAATCTATGAATTACAAAGAGTGCACTAAATAGTAGTAGTGAACACATTTATCATGAAAACAGATTTACATGTATCAGTCACATGAGGGATTCTTAATCAATGAACAGTTTAAATATAAATATAAGGATGTGTAGTATATGTCAATGAGACAGCAACCTAATGGCAAAAAAATCCCATAAAAAAAGAGAGCAAAAAAATCTGCTTTTAACAATTTTGTTTTTTACTTACTGCAGATATTGTTTTTTTTTCCATACTGAAGGTTTCCTGTTTGCCTTCCGTTAGTTTTGACAGAATTACATCTTTTTAAAACTTTCACACACGCTTTGGCTAGCAACTGTAGCCTTACATCATACAACACATGTATAAATGTCAGTCTCTTCATGCCTTTGTTTATTATGAATTTGGTGTTTGTGTCAAGATATTTGGTTGTCAGTTAAATCTATGCTAAACTTGTCTATACATGTTTAATCTTGGCAGTTCATGCCATGTCATTCAGTATATGCACTGTTAAAAATTTGAAGACGTCTAATTTGGTTAACATACATTATGAGTTGTCTGTCCTATTGATTTTTACACATTTCCTTTACCGTCTTTAGGTGTGTATAGTACGCGGGTTTTCACCCTGGGAATGACTTTTGAAAAGGGGGTGCATATTATGTATGGCTACACTGTTCTTTTAGACTTTTTTTCAGGCCGTATTCCGACCAAGAAACCAGGTGGTCTGGAGGAAAATATTTCCGTAGCATAAGCGTGATTGTTCTTAAATGTTTTACATGTATATTTGTACCTTCTTGTATCTGATTTGTAATGTTGTATGCAAATAAAAATCATTTTAATGCTTTAGTAGTTGTTTTTTGCGTTTTTTTGTGTTCTGCAGTGCTGCCCAAAAGTTGCATTTGATCATGTATAAATTAGAGATGAAGGATTCTGTCAATGGCCAAATTAGTATATGTGTAGATATTTCATATACAACAAATAATGTAGCATAATTCAATCTTTATGCATGCAACAGTGAATACTCTTTTTTTTTTATAAGACAGTGAAAATATTCTTGATCATCTATTGTATACTGAGGGTTCTTTAATATTTGTGGGATACCAATTTTTGTGGATACAGGGGAAATAATTTGTGGGATAATAATTTTTGTGGATACAGGGGAAATAATTTGTGGGATACCAATTTTTGTGGATACAGGGGAAATAATTTGTGGGATAACAATTTTTGTGGATACAGGGGAAATAATTTGTGGAATAACAATTTTCATGGATACAGGTAAAACAATTCAATGTTCAACAAAGTACAATTTTCAATAGACTTATACGCAGAGCCAAACCACGAAATCAAATATCAACGAAAATACATTATTTCCTAAATCACTGACAATCGAGAATCAGTACCCTTAAATATAAAAGAATCCACAATATGATCATGATGATGTATACAAATTATATTTCACTGGTAGTACTATCATCATAATATATACCTTTCACCAACAACCTGTAAATCATCTTGTCGTATTCCTTTACCATTATCAACCACTTGAATTTTAAAGCATGGTAGGTCTACTCTAATGGCCACACAAGTGGCACCTGCATCTAAAGCATTGACGACTAACTCCTCAACGCACTGTGCAACATTTGTTATTGCCACTCCTGTTCTCAGTAATGACTGTACATCAGCTGGTAAACTGGTTATTCTATCCCCCATACATCTACTGGAACAACTAAAAATAAAGAAGCAAATTGCAAATAACTTGAAAATTGGTAATTGCTGCTTCTCAGCTCAGCATAGAACAATTTGGAGTAAAGGTAAAGACAGGTTGGCATAGAGTCTCTGGTTGATATTGCTTTCTAAGACCTTGTGAACTTAATTTAATTAGCAAACCAATAACCAGATTCAGTTCATGTTTGTGTTGTTGTGGAATGGAAGGATTGATGGGTTTGTGTTTAACGTCCAGTGGCAAATGCCACATGCATAATAGGAAGCAAACATTATAATTTGATATGAATAAGAAGCCTGCTTTGTACTAGACATACATGCTTATATGATGGATAAAATTTTAACTTTCTATTCGAGGTCATACATGTACTTAATAAAAATTTTGCATATCATTTTTACCAGAACCATGCCTTTCAATTCGGTCATTAAACTTTACTCTGTACTCAGAGTACAAAATTTGTGCTGGAAACACCAATTCCAGTATTTTGATTGGTTGATTTCTGAGTCTGAGTACAATAATCATACTTGAAAGTTTTATGACTGTAAGCCCAGATGTGTCAATATGACCCAAATCCTAACACACAAATACACACAAAATGCACACAAAGCAAATAAAAGGTTGACAAAAATAGACAAACAAACAACACATGGTCCAGATAGACTATCTTGGTAGAGGCACAAAATATGGGGTAGAACCAGTTTCATAAAAAAAGGGGTAAGCAGATCCTGCTCCACATGAGGCATCATATCAATATTGTTGTTTGTACAAATTTGGTGTCATGTCCCATTCTGTGATACACAACATGCACAATGGAGGGAAGATTAACAGAAAAAATGGCTATGATAATTGGAATATATATGTCATGTATGTGGTAACCTGTAAAACAGATATTCCAAAACAGGCAAGCAACTAATGATAGCTTCCATAAAACTTAAGAAAAGGATGACTTTATAACTTTGCCACTTGGAGCCCTTGGTTCAATAGCTTCCTTATAAGCAGCAAATCTCTATCAAGGAAATCATGATAGGAAAGGCAAGCTCAAAAATATCAAAATTATTGGAAGATATAAACTCAATGTATGCAGACACTACTGGAATGTTGCTTCATAGAAATGGAAAGTTCACAATTTGAAAGCTGAAAGCATCATTTTTTTGTCATAAAGTTTTTTTCTCAACAGACCCTAATCAGATATTTTATTGTTTGTGAAAACCTCACCATTTGCCTATCTAGACAATATATCAGTGAATACTGTACAAGTATGAGTAAAACACAATTAAAAACATGCACAGTCCAGTTACTTACAAGATGACCACATACAAACAAGGAAATAAGGATGGCACATAATGTGGAACTCCGGGTCAATTTCTGCTTAATATTACAGGTATGTTACACAACACTTTAGTGCTCATAATAGTAATTTTTGTGTATTGTATCCCAAAAGAAGGATATAATTATTGCAGAAGGGACTCCAGTGAAGACAAATAGTGTACGATTTTGATTAAATTGATAAGAAATTTTTTTTTTTCAATTGGGAAAATGGTTGTTTTGGTATTTACAAACAAGAGGCTCTCAAGAGCCTGAATTGCTCACCTTTATTCCAGAGGAGAAGATTTTTAAATGTTAGCAAACTTGATGAACAAATTGTGTAAAATTGTCTTTAAAGGGCAATAACTCCTTAAGGCGTCAATTGACAATTTTTGTCATATTAACTTTTTTGTAGATCTTACTTTGCTGAACATTATTGCTGCTTACAGTTTATATATATCTATAATAATATTCAAAATAATAACAAAAAACTGCAAAATTTTGTTAAAACTACCAATTCGGTGGCAGCAACCCAACAATAGGTTGTTCGATTTGTCTGAAAATTTCAGGGCCGATAGATCTTGACCAATTAAACAATTTTACCCCATGTCACATTTGCTCTAAAAGATTTAGTTTTTGAGATATAAGCCAAAAACTGCATTTGACCCTTATGTTCTATTTTTAGCCATGGCGGCCATGTTTGTCGAAAGATACAAACTTCGGATACAATTTATAAACAAGATACCCTAAGGACCATTTAGTTAAAGTTTGAAGGTAATTGGCCCTGTAGTTTCAGAGGAGAAGATTTTTAAATGTTAGCAAACTTGATGAACAAATTGTGTAAAATTGTCTTTAAAGGGCAATAACTCCTTGAGGGGTCAATTGACAATTATGGTCATATTAACTTTTTTGTAGATCTTACTTTGCTGAACATTATTGCTGCTTACAGTTTATATATATCTATAATAATATTCAAAATAATAACAAAAAACTGCAATTTTGTTAAAACTACCAATTCGGTGGCAGCAACCGAACAATGGGTTGTTCGATTCGTCTGAAAATTTCAGAGCTGATAGATCTTGACCAATTGAACAATTTTACCCCATGTCAGATTTGCTCTAAAAGCTTTAGTTTTTGAGATATAAGCCAAAAACTGCATTTGACCCCTATGTTCTATTTTTAGCTATGGCGGCCATATTTGTCAATGGATCAAAACTTCGGATACAATTTATTAACTAGATACCCTAAGGAACATTTAGTTAAAGTTTGAAGGTATTTGGCCCAGTAGTTTCAGAGGAGAAGATTTTTTAAATAGTTTACGACGACGACGACGAACGACGCCAAGTGATGGCATAAGCTCACATGGGGCCCTTCAGGCCCCGGTGAGCTAAAAATGTAGGCCAATGCAAAGTTAATGATACAGACTGTTTGAAGCAATCAGAGACAACATTAGTTTACCTATGTTCAAACTAATAATTTCATAAAGAAGATACAACTGAAATTAAAAACAAGAGTGCACACGCTGAAATGTCTCGCCTGTTTTACTGACCATTGATTTTATGTTGAAAGTCTTAAAGATAATAAGTTTTTACTATAAGAATCACATGAACTTAACATTTTCAAAGATCCATGACATTTTGGTCAAGGTCAGATAAAAACTGTCACACAGACATGTACACCTTACAATTATTCCATACACCAAATATAGTTTATTGCTAATGGTAATTGAAAAACAGACCAAAACACAAAAACTTAATGTTGACCAATGAACCATGGAAATGAGGTCAAGGTCAGATGATACTGGCTAGATAGACATGTACACCTTACAATCATTCCATACACCAATTATAGTTGAGATATTGCTATTAGTATTTGAAAAACCGACCAAACACAAAACCTTAACATTGACCAATGAACCATGAAAATGAGGTCAAGATCAGATGACACCCACTAGACAGACATGTACATCTTACACCTTACAATAATTTCACACACCAAATATAGTTGACCTATTGCTTATAGTACTTGAAAAACAGACCAAAACACAAAAACTTAACATTGACCAATGAACCATAAAAATAAGGTCAAGGTCAGATGACACCAGCTAGACAGACATGTACACCTTACAATCATTCCATACACCAAATATAGTTGACCTACAGTACTTGAAAAACAGACCAAAACACAAAAAATTAACAATGACCAATGAACCATGAAAATGAGGTCAAGGTCAGATGAAACCTGCCAGTCTGAAATGTACCCCTTACAATCATTCCATACACCACATATAGTTGACCTGCTGCTTGTAGTATCTGAGAAACTGACCTAATCATGTAACTTTAGTTTAACCTTGATCACTGATCCATGAATTAGGTCAAGGTCAGGTTAACCCTGTCTGACGGACATGTAGACCTTGCAAGGAACCAGGGCTTCCAAAAAATATTTGAGCCAGCCGGACATTTTTTTTGTCTTATCCCGATTTTAATCCCTTAAGACTTAGTAACAAAAGGCAACCATAGTAATCAGTTGGGCATCATATGAATAATGATTGACACAAAAACGGTATTTGACTTGATTTTTAATATAAATTCGATGTTCTGGCGTTAACTGTTAAATTGACAGTGCACCATTCGAAGTGTGCAACATCAGCGTATTAATATCTGTTTAAGACTCTTTATTTGTGCAAAATTACGCTGTCAATAACTTCACTTTCTTTTTTAAAAAGTACTTTTCCTATTACTGGATGTTGACTTGATAATGGTAAAACACGGACCAGAGACGGATACGTAAAATCCGTGTATGTTTTCAAAGCACGATTGAGTTTAAGTAGCTCTTTCAGCGTTATTTCTACAGAAAAAGACTCGAAATGAAGGTTAGATATATATGATATAGTTATCAATGATATTTTTAGCATTTTTGAAAATGCGGATGCATAATTTAATCTCACAACTGCGCACATGCACATGAGTGTACTAGTTCAAACAAAGTGGTTCTGACAATTTTTCACTTAAAACCTTTATTACTACCTTTTTAAATTTTCATCAAATCATTTTTATATACGTTTTCTGGTAATCTGAATCTTGTTAACTAAATTAATTAGATGCAATCTGCTGAAATTTAAGAAAATAACTTTTAATACTAGACCGATCAATGTCCAGTACAAAATAGTTTACCTGTCGCCTGAACAGGTAAAATCAGCTGTCAGAGAACTAATTAACCTTGATTGTAATGAAAGGGTATTATAGTAGGGTTTGTTTTGATAGTAATAATAATCATGTCACTTTTATGACCGGAAATGTGTGGCTGTTTAAGGCAAAAGGTCAGGTCAAAAAGATCACATTAACTTCAATTTTTTTTCTGAACTATATAAAAATGTCCGTTTCAGCCTTGGCACAACAAGTCATTTATATAATTTATTGGACTTGTCCGGAAAATATGACCGTTTTGGAGGGGGGGATTTTGATGGACATTTTTTTGCGGGCCTGTAGAAGGTGTAAAAATAAACTAAGTTGGGTTGAATCTTTGAGATGCCCCCTCTCTGGTAACAACTGTATTGTTTAAGAATTGAATGACATGGACAATAGAAGGATAATATATATCTACACAACAATAGGACTAGGTGAGTAAAAGGGTGTAACTGAGTGAACAGTGTCAAATGTAATTCAGGTGTTTGTTTATTTTTACATATTCAGCAGGAATGGAAAAAATGCACATCAAAATTATCTTTCTTAAACACTAAATGTACTTAAATCTTATATATCTAGTGGATGCCAGCACTGGCACTTGTCTCTGAAAAAAATCCTACATACCTTAATATAACACAAGGTACTTAACTCGCATTTTTGAAAAATGTCATCCGGTCGCGAAATTCCTTTATATTTCAATTTCTCTGTTGCTAACCCCACTAAAACTTATGCCGTAAATCTAAACTGATTTATCTAAACAATGGTGTATAACACCAGGCCTCTACAATAAAAATTTTTCCAACTTGTCCAGTAGGACAAGTACATACCAAAACTTACTTGTCCGAATGAAATTGTAACTTGTCCAACAAAAATCTTAATAATAACCTTTTTTGCATTTTAAGTTGATTCAAGGAACAAAGTGAATTAAAACAATAGAACAGAATTTGATTTATATCTTTTGAAATACCTTTTAAAAATATGAGTCGAGAACAACTGAATCTAGTCATGTCACAGGACTTAGGTTCTAGTTTTCGTCAATGCCAAAGTTTCATCAGACTCTACACATGAGGCACCGTCTCATAGGCCTGTCAATTTCCACTCATTGGATTTGTATCCTGGTTTTTTAAGTTGAAAAAAGTTTATTCAAATTCAATCAATAAAAAAAAAGAAGATGAAGTATGATTGCCAATGAGACAAATCTCTGCAAGAGACCAAATGACACAGAAATTAATAACTATAGGTCACCGTATTGCAAGTATTGTTTTTTCTTCTATATATGATCAAATATGATTTGGGAATTTTATGGTAAATAATTTCTTCATTTTTATTTAAAAAATATTTTTGTTAAAAAAGTTACGGTATGGTATTTATTATAAAGCAACAGAATAAGGTAGGAAAACGAGGTACTGAATTGTCTTGGTCCCGAAATGTCTCCTGTCTCCTGCGTTCCCAAACTGTCTATTAATCATGTCTATTAAATATGTCTCCTACCGTGCCAAACTGTCTATTAAACTTGGAGCCAAATCGTTTCCGAGCTGGTGACGAACTGTCTTGTAAAGTTACCTTTTCTACAAAGCGCATCTCTGATTTGGATCAGTAAGACTGGTTTCCGAGAATAGTATGCCTTTTACCTGTTAAAAAGTACCTGACAAAGAACCATTTTTAAATTATCGATTGCAAGTAAACATGTCAAATTAATACTTGTGTTTATCTTCTTTTCTTGTGTTTTGTTTATAATTACTTTGTTCATCAAAGTATTATTAAATTTATTTTCTGCATAATAATTTAACTTGTCCCGTCGGACAGGCTTGATATAGCTTTTACTTGTCCGACCTGTTTTTCCTCTAGTACCGGGACAATCGGACAAGCGTTATTGTTGAGCCCTGAACATGCCTACCTTTGTTGTCGGAATCATTCGTAGCAGGCCTCCCCAAGTATGTCAACCGTAATTATTTCGTCTACCAACAGCCAACTGGAAATATAAGACTCGCAGTAAATGATTAATTATAAAAAGTATTTCCAAAAAAACTGTTAGTTTTTGTCTGAATAGACCTTATCATCCAGATAGTAAATTTGTAAAAGATTCTGTGAAAAAAAATCTTACAAGTATTACATTGTATTTGAGGTATGTCTAATGAGTTACGAGTTTCTATTTTTAGACTCAAATTTTCCCATTCCATCAATGTCATTCAGACTCTCTCTGGACTTTACAGATAAAATGAGATAACTCCAAGAAACATTTATTTTTAGCAATAGACCTTCCCATAAAATTTTACCAATTGGAAACCGAGATTTATAAAGAGAGGGGAAAGATAACATTTACTGTGAGTCTTATATTTCCAATCATTTTAAATAATTACTGTTGACACGCTTGGGAAGGCCTGCTACAAATGATTCCGACAACAAAGGTAGGCGTGTTATACACCATTGTGTAGATAAATCAATTTAGATTTACGGCATAACAAGTTTTAGTCGGGTTGACAACCATGAAATCGGAATAAAAAGGAATTTCGTGACCCGGTGACATTTTTAAAAAATGCGAGTTAAGTACATTGTGTTATATTAATTAAAGGGTATACATGGTATATAGGATTTTTTTTCAGAGACAAGTGCCTGTGGATGCCAGGCCTTAAAACTTTTCCGTTTGCACAGGTTTGTCTGTACTCGAAGTAGATTTTGAGGTGTAACACAGTCATTTTTGTCAATTTGTTTAATATGATGAACTTTAAGATAATTAATACCCTACCCATTTACTGGGACTATTATACTAGTCCCAGCCCATTTAGGAGGATCTTCCCAGCCAACCTGTTAATGTTATAAGCTGAGCAAGACGTTTTGGGCACAGACATACATACCTCGACCTTTTCTTACAGTTAACACCTGTCTCTTATTATCAATGTATACGTAATCATGTATCGCACTCATGTTTAACAAGAAGTCAAGATTTGTACTTTATTTTGTGTATAACTGAATAATTTCATGCAATATTTGTTCAATGTTGGCATGACATTATATGGCAAGTGAATTCATTTATACAGTGCTGATGAGTGATGTGTTCAAATCTAAGAAGGAAGATAGTTACGAAATATGTACACACATTCAATAAATAGCAAAAGGCGACATTTGAACACTTTTAGTTCATTTATGCTGATTCAAATATTTTGCTGTCTGCTAGAGATACCGGAAGTAGTGCGTCTCTCGCCAACGAGATTATGCTTTTCAATCATTTTTTTCGATCTATTCATATTTTCTTAATTCTATTTTATTAAGGAAAGTATTCGTTTATTATATCTGATATATCAATGCATTTAACGAGAAGATTTAAATAAATTTGACCTTTGACATTGTAGTTGCCTAGGACTTGTAAACAATATGGCGACCATGGCACATGATCTCATTGTTGCAGATCATAGATTTCAGTGCCAGTGGTGTCACATAAAAAAGTCGGTGAGTATTTTGACACCTCAAATTTATGACTAATCAAAGGCTAATGTAATTTTCCACGATATTAATTATGTTTCCTGTTTTCTATATTTATGTTCAGAACATCTTTTTCGTTTTACCAGAGGCAGAGACATATAAAATACATTTAGTATATATGTCTCTGATTTTACAATCTATCGACTATCGTGTGTTTTTTAAGTTTCACTCAATATCTTGTTAAAACATGAAGGCCTTCGTTTACTTTAGGGGACCAGGCCCACATAGGGCTCCACTATTTAAAACTATTCTTTACTCTAAACCTAACTCTTAACCATACATTACCTAACCCCTAATCTAAAACAAACCCTAACCTAACCCTGGCATTAAAGTATATAATAATATATCTGACAATAATAAATACTTTATTTAAAGAGTATAAAAATTTTAAAAAATCATAAAAGTATTTTAGAGTATAGGGACCACCAAGGATTTATTTAGTAAATCTTCGGGTCCACTACAGTATATGGAGCTAAAGAGGTCATGTTCGTCCTGGGTACCATAAGAAAGTACATGTATCTGGGTACTTTTACTTGATCAAATTTATTTAAAAGTACATGTACCCAAATCATTTGATAATTTTTGTGTTTTATAAGTTTCTATTGATTCCAGGTAAGCCTTTGAATTATTTTTATCAGTTTACTTTTGTTAACAACCACAATAATGATGAAGATGCAAGTGCAGGTACATGTAGTGCAGTTTCAGAATTATTAACATACCAAAAGATGCTGAAAACACATGATTGATATTTAATCTGGGTATGCCTTTTAGGTTGTGGATTAACCTGGGTATCCTTAAAAACTTTTATTTCAATATGGGTACTTTTCCTAACATAAAATGTACTCAGGGTACATTCTTAAATAGATATAAGAAGATGTGGTATGAGTGCCAATGAGACAATTTACTCTCCATCCAAGTCAAAATTTATAAAAGTAAACCATTATAGGTCAAAGTACGGTCTTAAACACGGAGCCTTGGCTCACACCGAACAGCAAGCTATAAAGGGCCCCAAAAATTACTAGTGTAAAATCATTCAAATGGGAAAACCAATGGTGGGGGGGGGGGGGGTAGTAGGGGTCCTGATCCCAAAATCCCGGGCTTAAAAACGTTTAATCCCTAGGTCCCGAATTTAAAAAAATTTAAATCCCGAAATTCGAAAAAAGAATTCCAGGATCCCGAAATCCAAAGCTTAAAAACACCCGATCCCGGAGTCCCGATAAAGGTCCTACCCCCCCCCTCAGCATAAATGATGGTCATATTATATTGGGTTTTTACCCTACTTAGCTTTTCAACAAATATTCTTGTCTTTTCTAAGATCATATAAGCCACTGGTACACTGGGCCATTCTATTGTACAATTGTCAATGTTAATGTTATTTAAAATATGTCCCAAAACACCAGACTTACATGACTTAACAACAATAAAGTAAAATAAATTTTACAATCTTGTCAAATAATTCCAGTTTACTTCAGCAGAAAGATGTTGCAATCTTCCCTTTCTAATTATGTTGTACATAGTACATATTGTTTTATTTGATTGTGCCTTTTTAACCATCAAAAAGTTCTTGTTCCACTGAACAAGAAACCCAGATATGAAAACTCATTGACAATTTTTAGTAAAATGTTGTTAAATTTAAACAGTTAATCTACATTTTTGTACCATAGAGAACATTACAATTTTACTTTTGTCTACATTTGTAATACATTCACTAGTAGACATACTTATGATGTGTGCATGATTTGGTTTTTATTTGCATCTGTACTAGATGGACATTTATCAACAAAAATACAGTAGTTTTAAACTGTCAACATGTTTATTATCTACTATAACAATTTTGCACCATGCTGGGAATCATTTATTTTTCATAGTGTTAACAATCTGATCTCTATCTAAATACAAGTATAATTCGAGTTATTGTCTTACTTTAACAACACAATTTGTATAGATTATTTGTGTAGTTGTTTAAATGTTGTTTGTGTCACTTCATCACTAATTTAATTACCCATAATTTTTCTGTGGTGTTTCAACATGATTAGAACATTTTGAAGGCTAAAATATGTGTTAGTATGAACCTGAGTTAATTGACACTCAATCAAGCACCAAAAATCAGCTGGATGATGAACATGTACATATTATAATTTTAAGTGTGACAGGATTTTAAAATGGCACTTTTAATGCCACTTGGACTAAACTATCCAAATGGATTAATTAATAGTAAGTGTTTTTTTTTTTATAAAAGTATTTAAAGGATCAGTGTGTACTGATTCATATAACTACCAAAATTCACCTTTTTATTAAGCTTTTGAACATGATTATGACTCATAATTACTTAAGAAGTTTTATTCCTCATGACCAAACATTTTTAAAGTTGTTTAAGAGTAAATAGTAAACATGTTCCAAAACATTACAGTTACTATTTTGATTCTTTTTTAAATGAAATGAGGACCAGGTATACATAATGATATGAATGATAAAAGTTAGCTATTCAACAACTGACTATTGTTACATTGTATGTCTATTTAAACTGAAAATATATATTTGTGCGACATAGATATTGCCATTTATTATTAAACATTTTTTTTGTCCACTCCATTATGCCTTGCTCAAGACTTATTGACAACCCAAGAGGACTGTTATGGTGCAGAAGAGTTCTGTTTTATTCATTCATATTTATTCGGGAAGGATTGTGCCTGATATTCATATGATGAAGACATAATCTTTCAATCAGTTTAATTGAAGTCTGGAGCTGGCATGTCAGTTAACTGCTAGTAGTCTGTTGTTATTTATGTATTATTGTCATTTTGTTTATTTTCTTTGGTTACATCTTCTGACATCAGACTCGGACTTCTCTTGAACTGAATTTTAATGTGCGTATTGTTATGCGTTTACTTTTCTACATTGGCTAGAGGTATAGGGGGAGGGTTGAGATCTCATAAACATGTTTAACCCCGCCGCATTTTTGCGCCTGTCCCAAGTCAGGAGCCTCTAGCCTTTGTTAGTCTTGTATTATTTTTAATTTTAGTTTCTTGTGTACAATTTGGAGTTTAGTATGACGTTCATTATCACTGAACTAGTATATATATTTGTTTAGGGGCCAGCTGAAGGACGCCTCCGGGTGCGGGAATTTCTCGCTGCATTGAAGACCTGTTGGTGGCCTTCTGCTGTTGTCTGTTCTGTGGTCGGGTTGTTGTCTCTTTGACACATTCCCCATTTCCATTCTCAATTTTATCTCATACTTATTCCTTAGGGATCTTCTAATAATGTTTATGAATTAGATCAGAGAATTAAGGATGACAAATGTACTGAACTTTAAGTTAACAGATAAAAAAGGACTGTCCATCTTTATCAACTTATATGTCATAAGGTTAATTGGACCTACATGTATTTGGGCTCAAATTTGAAAAAAAAGGTTATCAGATATCCACATTAGTATAAGTATTATTAGTAAGACATAGTTGTATTATGATTATTGTGCTATATTTAGAATTAATTTATTCACTTAGTTTAAGTACCAATAATTTGTCATGTTGCTATGATATAAATTTGTTCTAAATTGTAAAAAAAATAAATTCAGAGTATGATATTGAGAGAGAAAAGTACAAATATTGTAAAAGTCATATATTGTGTAAACATTACTGAAATTTGGCTTTATTCAGGCATTTAACTATAACATCTTACTGGGAGTTTGGTATAAATTAATTGTCCTCAGCATCTCCAGTTGGCCCCACTTATAATTCTAGTAACTCGATTTTACGCGTAAACTACGACGCCGTTACAATGAAACCTTTGTTTTTACTGCGTTATTTGACCGTACTGTCTCACTTTAAATATACCCCATATATCTTTTCGTTTTTTATTAAATCGTTTCAAACTATCATCTTTATGTTTAACTTTATACAGGACTTAGCGAATGGGTCATAAGTGTCAACTGATCGCGTTACTTTATTTACTACCAGAAAGCTTTTACTTCCGCCAAGGAATTGTATATTTAAATATACAATTCCTTGCTTCCCCAGACCGACGTTTGCACCAATGTATCGATCGTGAGACTTTATTTTGGAAATATATGGGATCTTTTCCCGAAAAAAAACAGATTTTAACAGAGTTATATCATGTGCACACGATTATTGATTAAATTTATATGACCTAAAGTGACTCTTAGGCTTGACAAAGAAATCTCGAATCGTCTATCAAAATACGGTGATACTCTTCCCCATCGTGTATTTGTATAGGAACCAGCGTTTTCCACTTTCCTCCATTTACATAATGTAAGATGTGCTAAGCGCAACGCTGATTCAACATGTTCAAATAGTCCTATAATTCATTTTACAAATATCGGGTTAGATAATTTTTACGGGAGGACAATCCCGTATATCCCATGATTTTTTATTGCCTTGTCCATTAGGGCGGGTGAAAATATCCCGATGTTCCATTTTAGCATTCGTTATATTTATAAATTGCATAAGATTTCAATTTATCAACACAAAAAGTCATTAATTCAGTTGCTGTTTAATGACTGTGACAAACATTCGTGTTTTTTAAGAAGTTAGTCCATATTGTTTACAAAAAAAAAAAAAAAAAAATGACAACTAAGGCTTAGCGTAATTAAGGCTGTCATATGATTACACATCATTTTTCGTCAACGGTCAACTTAGTATTTACGTCGGTAAATAAAATCACCGAGTTGACAAACTTCGTACAATTTAGAAATCTTAGCAGTGGCGTAGTTTATATCAAGGCAATGAGGACCAACTGTCTCAGTAGATTAAACTTACGCCCTTATAAAGTGCTCTCTGAAAATTGATCTAAGGACATTCTCTGTAAGCACCAACATTAAATTGTGTTCGAAATATTAGAATAGGTAAAATAATGCCTTCTTTGCAGTGGCGGATCCAGAAATTTTCATAAAGGGGGGCCCACTGACTGCCTACGAGGGGCCCCGCTCCAGTCATGCTTCAGTGATTTCCTAAATAATCAACCAAATTTTTCCCACAAAAGGGGGGGGGGGGCCTGGAAAACCCTCTAAATCCGCCTCTGCTTTGGTCGCGTGTTGAACAAATCTCTTTCACTTGAAAAATATAAAATATATAATGTTTGATTCAGGAAAGTCCAAGCTTTCTTTGCATGCTCTCTTCTTTTGGCCACTGGTATGCAATTTCAGCACTTTTCAATTAAAAAAATAGTCTACTGCGATTTTTACATTTGAATGATATCCTTTTCAAAAAAGTAGACGGATTCAATTTTCTACAGATAAATAAAAATATGAATAAACCCGTTAGTCAGTGTTTTTTTTTTATTTTGAGATTTTCACAAGTTGAGGATAGATGATATTCACAATATTCGTCCAAGAAGACATTTTAATCGTAGAACAAAACCTAACTATCAAGAATTAGAATTAAACCCCAATCCTTTGTGTCATTCATTCCGCTTTTCAAATTGAAAAAAAAGATAGAAAGGAACAATACAAAATTTTATGTCGCTAAGGCCATACAACTTCATGGTCAACTGAGTCATGGGGGCGTTCTTTAAACTTTCGAAAAGGGCACTTTGTCGTAAGAAACCCTTGATCCAGCTTCACATGGAAATCCTGACAGGAAACACAAACGAATTACGATATAATATTGAAGCAACTGCATGAGAGCTATATAGAGTCCGTATGTAAAATTGAGCAAATTAATGGATTGGATATAGCTATAGAAGTGGAAAATTCACAGTGGGAAATGTGAAATCATCATGCAAGGCTATAGATATGAAGCAAATTTATCTTTTTCATGTGTATTCTTTCAAATTCAATGGGATTTATGCCATTTAATAACATAATCATTTTTTCATCCCCTGTAGATATATTCCTTTAGGAATTTCGCTTTAAAAATCAAATCAGATTAAATAGTAACAATCGGATCCAATAAGCTTATGAAGGCTTCAACCTCTGTTAAAAAACACGTCACCAAGAAAATCAATTAAAGTGTCAATACAAAATAAAGTATTTTTTCTTCTTTTGAAATCTGTTTTCAAAGGGAAGATTAATCCCTTCTAAAGCACGAATTTTGTATCTATATATAAGCCTTTCTTTTTTATGAAAGAAAATTGAACTAATACGTTTAATTATTCTTAGAGTTATAATTAGGAATATTTGTGTTCTGCAAGGAAAAGTTTTACACTAAATTAAGTATTTTGCCTCCTAAATTTTTCTACAACTATTTGTAAACAATTAGTCTCAAATCTCAGAAGAGTACACATATATCCAGAGATGTGTGCACAATGAATGTATACAATCTCCTCGCGTATTCAACAGATTGATCTATTATAATCAATGAAGCACAAGTTCACCAAAAGAAGCGACAACTGAGATCGGCACAATATTTCTCCCTGAAGCATCTGGAATAACCCCTCATCCCATTGTTCAATCTATTTAGGCGATAAGGACGTCATTAAGATTCTATAACGCCTCATAAAACTGCAAAGTTATGTATTAGGGGTTTTGGAAAGTAGTACATATAATTGATTCTCATGCAGTCTTAAGACCTGTTGGCAGATCTCATCTCAAATCGACGCATGGTCGCTCTGCTGCCTTTTTTTATTGTTACTTCCTTATTTGTGTTTAGTATCTAGTAATAACGCAACCTGCTGGTTTTTTTTTACTTAGAACATGTAGCAAGGCGACACGAGATTATCTAACCAATGCAACATGAAAATTTGATATTTGTAGTAAGACAACGCGATATCTTCTTCAGGCAACATGAGAATTGTATATACCCACAAAGGGAGCGAGCATAAATGGAGTTACGAAGTAGTAAGCCAACACGAGGATTTCCAATTATGGCAACATTAGGATTTTATACTTTGAAGCAAGGCAACACGGTGTTATCTTATAAAGACAACATGATTATTTTATATTAGTCATACAGCATGATGATCTCTAATTGAGATACCATGCGGATTTTATACCCATAAGAGAATATATAATAAGAACGTGATGAGTTTATACTTTGGAGTAAGGCAATACAAGGATATCTAGTAAAGGTAACATGCTCAGGATTTTATACTTAGTAGAAAGGCAACACGAGAATATCTTATAAGCGTCATGCTTTCCTTCTTTCTTCCTGGGTTCCTTTATTGGATTTTCTGATGTTTACATTAAATATTAGAGTATTAACTACCGATTATCTGTATTGTATATATAGCAACTGGATTATGCACATATGTAATCGCTAATAATATAAAGCACGGGATTACTTGTATATAAGTAACAGTGCACTATATAAGTGACACCTAGAATTGAGACTAATCGTTTTATTGACAAATTTTATTAATCAAATAGACATTGTCCGAATCTGAGGTAAGAAGTACGCAAATTGGCGTCGCGATCTGTTGGATTTTTAAAAATTTAATTTTGCATGCTATTAGGCCATCTTGGGCTCAATATTTTTAGTGCAAATTACAATTTTACCCCCATTTTTTTCCACATAATTTCTTGAAAATTAGTCAAAATATTTCGAAACGAATTTTCTTTAAAATGATGTACATTTACACTTTTCTATCGAAATTTTCGGTTTTCATACAATTTTATAAGGGTTATCGACTTTTCCTTAATCATTTAAACATTTGTGGCGTGTCTATTTTACAAGAAAATAATATTTCGTTTCGTGACATACTGTCGTAACTTAATGTGGTGTTTTTAGTTTTCAACGTTTTTTGTCACATTGGATTCAATCTTCTATACTTTAAATGTATATATATCAGTTTCAATTGCACATAATATATTTATAGAAATTTGGTTAGAAAAGTTTCGAGAAATGAATGTTTAAAAGTGAAATTATTGAACATTCGCGGACATATTTATACGTGCATTTTATTTGTTTACACTTGTTGTGGGATTTTCATTTATTCCACCTCTTAAAGTAAAAAAAAAGTTAAACATATCATTTTAATAAAAGTTACGTGGGTATCATTTTGATAAAAGTTTCACATATCATTTTGATTAAAATTACACATACCATTTCAATAAAAGTTATACACATCATTTTAATAAAAGTTGCACATATCATTTTGATTAAAGCTACATACATGTATTTCATTTTAATAAAAGTTACATATATCATTTTAATAAAAGTTACATGTATCAATTTAATAAAAGCTACGCATATCGTTTTAATTAAAATTACACATATCATTTTCATAAAAGTTACTCATATCATTTTGATAAAAAGTTACATTAAGTTCAGTATGATCTAGTTGCATGTTAATTCCAATCCGTTCTAAGAGATCTGTCATTTGCGAATCTCTTATCTTCGTATGATGCATCTCTAATCTTCATATACCACATCTCTCATTTTCATATATATAACGTATCTCTCATCTCCATATCACGTATCTCTCATCTTCATATACTGAACGTCTAATGTCGATACTAAGCGGCCATCACTACCGAGAATAATAAAAAGATCATTCAGCATTGTTGAAAATATATGCACAGATCATCGTAGTTATTTCCTTCTTTTTTGAAAAGCATTTTGTGTGGTTACAAGAACTTAAAGAAGTATTTGATATTAACAAAAGCCTTCTCGATCTTTTTTTTTTCAGTTTGTTAATTTGTTGAGTCAGCGAAATAATAAAGCGTGCATAACAACCGTCTCTATTCATGGGTAGTTCAGATTTTGTGAGACTTCTGCATGTGTGGAGAAAACTGCAGTAAACAATTTAGCTCTCTGTACACGTTTCAATCTTCTAGATATGTATAAAAGTAAACAAATCTATAACTGTTGTAAGGTACATACATGAAGATGGAACCGCTAACGACTTGACCGTGTACTTAGTAGTTTGGCTCGTGTGAATTAGTATTGTAGCCCAGCCTGTATTTTCAGCCCAACACTATACAAAGAAATAAAATTAACAAAATTCTAGTGGCCAAGCCGAACTAAAATATACTGAATCATAATTTAAGAATCCAGACAAAAAAAAAAGGGGGGCTACTTGGACCTGATAATTTGAAATCTGATTTTATAAGAACTGCTCTTTTCTATTAAAATACATTTTTATTGATTGAGAAGAGAAAATGTACTAAGTATTAGTTTTTCATTACGGCATAGTTCCGCTATATACAAAAAATTACAATAAAACGCAGTTTAGTTATTAGTAGATTAATTAGAATTAATATAAATTTAACAAGATTTTAAATGATTGAATTCTCATTACAATATGAAATATGACAGTACTTCAGCATCACGATGAGAATAATTGTATTACAACACTGCTCTAATGAAAACATTTATACTTTTAACGCTAATTTTAGATTAGGTATGAATATCAATCAATAATATATCTACAGCTGTAGCTCTTCATCAGAACATCCATTTTTTTTTAAATATGGGATGTTTACTTTGCTTTGGTATGAATTAATAAAATGGACCACACCAAGAGCTCTAGAGGTAAATTGTCGTTTCACACATTTTGTAGGTACGCAATGTAACAAATAAAAGAACTTGTTACAAGCTTAATTGAATTCACCATGAACGGCCGTTAAAGTGGCATCTAACTAAACATGGAACCTTTCGTGTGAATTATCAAGAGATTGTATGAATAATGCATGTGGAATAGTGCCAGTTTTATTAGATCTTTAACAAAATTCTTTATCAGATACCTACAATTACTTACATTTATTACTTTGTAGAAAAATCAATATCTGAACGGAAATAATTTTTATGTCGATCCTTGGAGGAAAATGGTTAAACATGGTTAATGGTATCAAGCATGCATTATTCACACTACGTCACTATGGTTACATGTAAATATTCCGTAAATTTAATGTCATGAAAATTGGAACTTTGTACAAAAGTAATTAAACCTATCCTCATTCTTAGCAGTAGTTTCAGTGATTGCTTCTGTATTAATTAAGAGTATAGTTGGAATAGTTGCACTAAGGAAATTTCAGTTAAAGCAAAATGATGGATTATCGGTCGACAAAAAGCTACAATTTTGATTTAAACCAATTTTATTTTGCAGAAACTTTATTAAACAACAAAGCACAGATGAGTAAGTCAATCGTAGAACGCCCTCCTGCTTATAGAGGTCCGTCAAAAATACCAAGATTTGCACATGCACGACAACCGTTGCCAGGCATTGAGATGGAAAATGTGAACAACAGTGGCAGACGGCCGTCAAAACTTATGCAACTTAAGACGGATTATCAAGATAGAATTATGAGGGAGAAAGAAGAGAAAATGGTTCGATTGTACGAGGACAATCAGAAAAGAACTTTAGAACGAGTGAATTCGAAAGGGGTGGTCAGAGATTTCTTCCGCGAACGCCACGAAATTGAAAGAGGAAACGGCATTGCAACTCAAATTCCAACTATAAATCAACATTTCAAACAAAAAAGGAATGAACAGAAATACGGGGAAACAGATTTCTTTGAAAAAAGAAAAGTACCTGGAGAAAAAGTCAAACGAGGTGGATATGGCAATCGTAACGCCATCGGCCGTGATAAAGCTAATCCATTAGCGCCAATCGACCGAAACAATACGACACCGCCGATTACAAGGAAACCTCAAATACATGGCAGACCTTGGACTAAAGAGGACAAAAAACCTAAAGCCAATGACGAATCTGTCCCCAAAAGTGCACCAGCTCCCTACGGGATGAACAGTGGAGTTGAATTATACGGTCCCGTTACTCAATCACCTAGTGACGATACACCGCCACCCAACTTATCACAACTGAAAAAGTTACAGAAACAGAAGATAAAAACCAACAGATCAAATATGTCGCCCTCCACACAAAGATCTAAAATGTCTGACTTCCAGAAATGGCAAGTAGAACAAGATGAATCGAGAAGTGAAAGGCTGAAAAAACACAGTCGTATGCAAAACGATAGCGACGAAGAAAACTTCCATGAAGGTGATGAAGATGAAATTTTGTCCAAACAACAAGAACTGATGGAAAAGATTCAGAGACAAAAAGATGAGTTAGAGAGAATGAGAAGAGAAAGAGAAAAAGAAGAAGAAATGGTGAGTATAAAAATAAGTAGAAATCGTGGTTTCATAGCAGTGAAGGAAGTGTCTGCAAGCAATGAACATGACTTTATCTAAGATTGAAGACACTGCAAAGAGATTCGTTAAGTTCAGTTCATAGCAAGTAACATTAATTAATTTCAAAATTTCATAGACGTTTTCAAATATAACCTGAATAATTGTAAACACATATATGTAATGTTGTTTAATCTGGTTGAAAGTGTAGGAAACAGGTTTACATTGTAAAATGTTTGCTTTGTTCATATTTTAGTTGGAGTAGATATGAATTTATATAAGAATATGTAATAGTATGCAATATTCCATGGGTTCATGTCAGAAAAGGGTATTTCAAAATTGAGGAAAAATTAAATACTGACCAATATTTATTTTGCAGTAATTAATCTCTTTTTAAACTTGTTTTTTAGGAGAAAAAAGAAATGGAAAAAAGAAAACGCCGAGAAGAGGAAAGAAGAAAAAAAGCCAAGGAAGATGCTGAACGTAAAAGAAAGGAAGATGAAGAACAAAGACGACAGGAAGAAGATGAAATAACGGTACAAGCGCGAAAAAGACGCGATGAGGAAGCACAAAGGAGACTTGAAGCAGAATCAAGGATGATGACTAACAGAACAAACCGAACTCATAAAAGTGATGTTAGTTACCGTGATACATACAGGGACAATATGGATGACGACTTTGTTCGATCTGATAGCAGACATAGAGTTGCACCTACTCCTCCAAAACACCCTAAGCCAGTTAAAGTAAAACGTCCTTCAGGAAATCCAAAAAGTACTCAGCCTCACTATGAACGAGAAGAAACTCCTCCTAAAGACTTTAAAGTAGACATCAGTATGTATGCTGATGCTGCTAATGTTGATGGTGCATATGAAAGTTCTAGAGTCAAACTTGTTCCATGTTCCAAATGTGGACGAAAATTTGCTGCTGACAGAGTTCAAAGGCATATGAACTCTTGTGACAATTTAACTAAGAAAAGAAAGATTCTTGATCCAACAAAATTACGAACAGCTGGAACAGATATGGAAAAATACGTCAAGAATCCTAAAATGAGGTCAAAGACACCGCCTGTAAGTATCTGCCATAATTCATTGTTATTTCTGAAGGGGGTAAACTTCATTGTTTTGAAATTCTCCTGCATCATTTACTGCTGATTTTGTTTTGATAAGCAAAAGTATCTTTCTTTGATATATTTTTATTGTGAAAAATATAGGGAAAAAAATTGTACGGGCCCCGCTGACTTTTAAAGTGAGCCAAACAATCTGAATCGATTTGAATTCTTTGAACTGGAATCAGTTTGCTTCAAGCAATTCAACACAAGTGTGCTATTTTCATTGGTGGTGATAATCTGGCTAAAGTCCCTGTCTTCTGTATATATACATGACGTTTCAACTTAGTTACATGGGACATTTTGAATAGCAATATTTATTTGTCTTTTACTTAATTTTCAGTTTACTGCCAGGGTAGGTTTGCGTGTTTAATGCTTATCTTGTGTAATAATGACAACTGCAGATATATTTGTTGCTTAATGTAATGTATGCCTTTCTAAACATACTGACATGACATGTTTTGTTAGACATATTTTTTGCAATATAAGCCCTTACATATAGACATATGTTTTGTAATGAAAGCCCCCATACATGGACATATCTTTTGTAATGTAAGCCCTTATAAATAGACATATTTTTTATCGAGACACATGAATTATTGATTTGCTGTAACAGATAAAACACTGATTTGACAGTCGTTTACGTACGGACAAGAGAAGCTCGGACAATAGAAATTCTGGGACAACGTTAACGTGTTAAGAAAAGTACAATATCTTTCTCCGACTTGGATAATGAACTCACAGTTTTAAATACGATAAGAAGAGCTTTTGTAAGCTCATAGACTTTACAGACATGGGGGCACACCAATTTTACCAGGGATCAAAATCTGGACCTGACAAGTATTTGTGGGTAATCAAGAATTGAACGATTGCTATAAAACCACAGTGTACATTGTTGTTACATTTTTTGTAAATTTTGCTGCTTGTTACCGATTATTCGTAGCTAAAAATATGATTGATACTAGAAATTGTTAATAGCAAGATGGTATAGAAGGCGATGTATGCATGGCAGGAGATACTTGCCCTGCCGACACACTCATTTCACTTCATTTTAAATGAGTTGACATTATGATTTTTCAGTAGGACATAATCATTTAAAACTGTAGGCACAATTTTCTTTTAGTATTTTAAGTTTATAAAAAGATAAAAATCTTGTATCGATTTAACAACAATACATTTCTTTAATGAAAACATTGCCACATGAATACACATTCAGTAATCCTGAGTGAAAGTTTTAAGTCAAAAATAATATGGAAAAGGGAGAAAAAGGTGTTATATCTAATAAATACTATTTTCTACATTTTAATCAGTTTTGTTATGTCACTAACAAATCATTAACGTGTTGTTATTCAAAGTTACGCCGTCTGAATTTCCTGTGTTCGATGCGCTTTTCTGGGTTTACCATAGCTAGAAATGATCAGAATTCAAAAGTTGTTGTGACAGCCGAATACGTGCCTGTGCTTCTGGGTAGATGAGTATCTCGGGGCCAACAGTAATTCAGTAGTGATATCGACCCAGTGCTAGCAAATAAAAGTAAAACGTATCGTATTTGCTGCGTTCGGTGCTTATTTCTTAATGAAACCAATGGTCTCGTGGAAGCGTACACTATTCGAGGACATTTAAAATTGGTATTTGCTAGTTCTCCGTCAAGCACGGGACATTGGCAAAGACTGGTGTGCTCCAGGCAAAGTCTGAATCATATGTCTGATTAGTACGATAAGCCTCCTAGTTGACTGTTACCGTGTGATCTATCGTGTTAAAATCCGATTCCCTGTGTCGGTCTTGTACCAAAGCAAGGTATATTCATATTTCATTAGCATGTAGTCCTGACCATGCATGTTATATTTGCCACTGGGTGATAAAACCCCTAATCAAGCAATAACATTTCTTAATTGTTTACCAATTGTTTATTTTTTGTCAATATTTTTATTACGTGTCAATATAAACAAAGGCATGCAGGTGTTTACTTTTTAATAAACAATGAATTATCTGCTTATACGAGATTTAATGCGCCAAGAAAGAGACAAAGGGCATTTAAAGACTATTTCATGCAACTTGGCCTGATTTTAGTGGAGTCACAGAACTTAGCATATATAATTACAAACATACAAGGGGAATTTCCTTCTTTGACATAATAGTTTAATTAAAATGGAATTAATAAAATATAAGATATTCTGGAACACCCGATTAGCCCAATTTTCTAGTATTAACAACAAAATATTGGCACAATTTTCGCAGAATTAATGAAAAATGAAAACAAAACTTATAAAAGGAGCTTTGATTCAACTTTCTTTACTTGTTGGTAAAATGACACATTTAATACGTTGAATGGTAACTAAGAAATATAGAAAGACCACTAAGAAACAAGAAGTGAAAAATGAAAAGCAGTATATTGGTTGTCTTGGTTGATTCTTTCATATTCAAGACAAATAAACATAAAATCCAATTTGAAGGTTTGAGACTGGGTCGAGGGATGTGAAGGGTGGACACTGAATTTTGGCCGTCATATTTCACATGTATTAAACTGATTTAATACTATTTTTTTTTCTTTTAATTGTAGAAAAAGAAGGCAAATTGGAGAAAACAACATGAAAGTTTCATTGAGAATCTAAGGTACGCCAAGAAGGTTTCAGAGATGGAAAAAACTGGGCAAGATATGTCGAGTCTACCTCCGCCTCCGGTCACCGAAAACCCGGACTATGTGCAATGTCCCAATTGTAAACGATCCTTTAACCCAACCACTGCCGAAAGGCATATTCCACGTTGTAATGGGGCCCCTAGAAAAAAATAATTCAAATATAAACAACTTGGAATAATGATGAGATAACGTGCTGGTGCCATTTGATTCAAATCATTGTATCGATTTCATATATGTTTGCCATTAAAAGAGCACATGAAATGATTAGAGTGTTTATCACAGAGCTTTGAAATTGACAAATTAATTTAGTGCGATTTATATATGATTATGTTATACAAAAATCACTCCAGTTCATATATGCAAAGGTTTTTTTTTTTTAATTTTAAGCAATTTAATCAAAAGAGTTCGATGTATGATAACTCATTATAATGTGTTCAAGAAATTAAAGCATTGTTAGATCTGTAGGTAGTATTATTCTTCATCTGGAGATAGACCATAGACGAAAATGCAATAATTGGAAAGACCGACCTATTTGTTATTACATTTAGAATATTATTTTACTGACTTTTAATTTATTGTTTTTGAATTACTTAGTTTATACTGTTATGTTTGCCAAATTCGTTGCAATCAAAGTGGGTTCAGTTTATACTTAAAGTTTAAACAACTGATACATTATTAACTCCCTTTTGAAAGTTTAGTTAACATGAATCCACAATAACGCAAGTTTGGGATTTAAACTTGGTTTTAACAAATGAGTTTGATAAACTAATTGAAATCTGAGACTATTTTGGTTGCAACATATTTGACCTTATATTTGTTTTGTAAAGCTTTTTATCATTTTCAATGAACTCTTCCAAATTATTGTTTATCTTCTTTGTTTTGAGATTTAGAAGTTAATCATATAAAATTGAACCATTTGCATAATTTGCGCCCTTCCTGTAGAATTACACATGATAGAGTTATAAGGTACATTTGCTAATTTTTTAAACCTGAAAAATGTTTAATCTCAAAACATTGCCTTTCAGGTCTATAATGTTTCTTTTCTTCAAAATTTTAAAACATTTATTTATACAAAAAGTGTATAGATAATTGTGCTGGATTAAGCTTTAGAATGTTGCAATTAATGCTATACGATTTTGCCAATCTTAGCCATTACTAAAATTTTGTCATTTCTGTCTGTAGTTTGTAACAAGCTTGACTTATGAGCTTAGTTTGTAACAAGCTTGCATTGACTTATGAGCTAACATTTTATCAACTAACCCATGGTTAAGGTATACTTTTTGTTAGATATGATATACAGTAGTCTGCTTTCATTGGTGCTTTATTCTCATGGATTGTTTTAATTGAATCATATTTGTTTAATATCATGTCGAAAGTCTTAATTTAAATCTTAATATTATGCCTCAAACTTTTACTTTTAAGAAATATTTTATCGAGATTTAAAATTATTTTATGCACTTTTCTTCGTTTTAGTTATTTATCTTATGGCATCATGCATGCCCATTATTGCATATGAGTTTTGCAATAATTTTTACCCATTCTTCTCTTCTCTTTCTTTTTAGAACTCCACTTTTCGCTATTCTTTATTCTAAGCTAATTTTTCTCTTTTCTTTATTTAGTTGCCTACTATTCTTTATTCTGTAAACCCCATTCACACAGACCCTCATTTGAATACGAGTTGTGAAACTTGCCTTGTCAAGTAAGGGAACGATCATTTAACTTCAGGAGGGGGAGGGGGGCTATTGTTTTTTCGTAAACAAATATTCTGATCCCCAATTTGATGAAAAAAAATATTGTGGTCAAGCAGATGACAAAAAAAAATATTCTGAATCCAGATTTTCCACATGCCTTATAGTGTTAAAATTTGAAACAAAATGATTTGATTGATAGCGTCGAAAAACTAAAAAAAAATAATTTCTGACTCCGACAAAAAACCATACACCCTCCCCCCCCCCCCCCCCCCCACTTGAAGTTAAATGGTTGCTCCCTAAACAAGATTAATTCTATGTTAAAATTCGTTTACATTGGAGAAGGTTATTTTTACAATTAGCCCGAACAATTAATATAACTAGCCAACACTGCCTGGTACGAATCTCGGTTTTAGTTATATTGAGTAATAAATCTGTACAAATTATCAAAGAACTAAACGAATATCGTATATTCCATTTGTCATGTGAATTATTCACATATTATGAGTACATATCAATGCCAACCAATTAAACAACCCGTATACTCGTAAATTATTTATGATACTGGGATCTGGGAATATATTGCATACTAGTATATAAGTGTCGTTCTACCACAAGTTTGAACAGAAAAACGTATCTAAAAAGTAGAACAAAAATACTGAACTCTAAGGCAAATTCAAAAAGAGGAAGTCCATTAAAACGGACAAAATCAAATGCTATCAATCAACGGAACAAGTGAGAAACAACTGCCTACATATTCCTTATGAAACCATAAATATTTCATTGGCTATGCGAAAAGCTTTGAAAACAATATCATTACAGCCAACAACAGTTTTTTTCGGAGAACAATTGCTGACAACATGGTGAAAAGTGAATATTCGTATACATTGTAACTTCGTATGTTAATGAAGGGGAAAGTTAGAATTTTGGTTTGTTTAAAATCGATGAACTAAATGTTCAGGTAAAGGCATTTTTTGAAAATATTATGAATTGAATTCCTTTTGTACACACGTGCGTTTAAAAATGTGAAACCTAAGGAACTTTGCTTAGCTCGAATTGGTTTTCTGAATTAACCTTCAACTGAAACACTGTTTACAGGATAATTTACTCAAAGGTCAACTGACATCATTTAAGTAGAAATATCTTTTGAGGGCATTATTAAATTCGTATACTACTATTATATATTTATCACTGCCTCTAGATCGATAATCAAGGAATTCATTCCTTGCCATAATACACTTCTGATAAACTGATTCTCCAGATGGATAACTACATAAGCTTTAATGGTAAAACATGTTCTCAACTCTCTATAGAATAGACAACCAAAATAAGATTTCTATTTAGATGGTGTTTGGGAACAAATATTTCACATGTATTCCAATTTCCAGGCTTGATTGCTATTTAGCATATCTTAGGCATGCATCCCGAAAATGTAACACCGCCAACAGAGATGGATCGATCCTTGAAAACTTAAATTGGCAAAACACGCACTGTTATACGGACTAGTTTTCTTATTACAACCGGTAATTAATTATTCTGATAAAGCCTTTTCCAATTGTCTAAATTATTTATGGTAGGATACAATTTCTTTGGGCGTATTTGATAGGCTTTGCTCGTTTAATGATCCCTGCATGTGGTGTTGTTAAATATTCCCTATGGTATATCCAATCTATTTCTACTATACTAGTATATAAAAACTAGACTTTCACAGGATATAATTAGATGAAAATAAATTCATTGATACTAAAGCGGACGATACCAAAAAGGTTATTCAAACTCACAAATCAAAGACGAAATGACAACGACATGGCAAGTAAAAAATACGAAAAAGACAACACTCTACAAAATACACCAAACAAAGCTTAAGACTCAGCAACACGAACCCCACCATAAACTGGGGGTGATATCAGGTGTTCAGGTATACAGTCGGTTTTTGGGAACGCCAATGCGTTCCTGTGACATGAAAGCTGGCATCGTGTCTCCACTGGGAAGTAGCATGACCTATAGAACTGTTATACAGGATGGCTTTGCCGATTTCTGGGTATTTATTCAATCATGGTCTTTAATCAATCATGTCCTATAGCACTATCAACTTCAGATTGACCTGTCTCTTGCCTCTTTTCAATAGCATAATGTCTAGCCAAAGCTTTGTATCAACCAATTATTTTTGGAGCGTTGATCTTTCATCAACATTTCTTGCATCTCCTTGCTGTTAACCTTATGCTTTGATATCTCCTCCTTAACTTAGGTGCATGCAGTCTATCTTTCTTTAACAAAGTGTATGAACCCCAGTACCTTATTTATTTTAGTGTTTTTTCTGTTTGTTTTGTTCACACATTGCTGTCAATATAATGGAATTTTATGCGACTGTCATACAAGTGAGAGGTTTAGCTAGCTATAAAACCAGGTTTAATCCACCATTTTCTACATAAGGAAATGTCTGTACCAAGTCCGGAATATGACAGTTGTTTTTCATTCGTTTGATGTGTTTGAGCTTTTGATTTTGAAATTTGATAAGGGGTTTTTCCGTTTTAAATTTTCCTTGGAGCTCGGTATTTTTGTTATTTTACTTTTTTCTTTACTGTGTGATCAATGATTCTGTTTCTCGATGTATTGGCCGTTGAGCTTTGTATATATACCATTCTTCAATGCTATGCTGCAAGAAACAACGATTGAGGTTTGCTTGCCCGTTACACACGTTCCAATGTGGTGTTTGTGAACACGTACGTAGTTAGGATTTAATTTTATATTCACCCATTGACAACATATAATTTCAACCAATTTTCTTTGATCTTGCCATTTTCTTTCTAACGTCAACTGTTACTTTATTTGCTGTTTCCTTCCTGTGAAATATGTAATTCCTGCCAGGCACTCTCTCCTATCCTTTCTCACATCTACTGAATGATGTGATAGTGTTTTTTGCTATCTTAACCATATCTTCCCGCAGTTATCAGTCCTCTATATCCCTGTGAGTGTATATTTTCTGCGTCTTTTACTGCATTATGGACAGGACATTTCCTTCTTGCTCTGACACCCAAACTGGCTCCCTTCACCTTACCATCCTTTTAGTCTTCAAAATGACGACTTGTCTGATCCGATATACAACGTACAACAAATATTGCAATACTTAACGTGTTGTTGTCTAAATGATAAACTTTGCATGGTTTGTGGGATTTTTTAAAAAATTTCAGTTTACCAAAGAACTGCAGAATTTCAAGAGACCGATGATACGGTGCTTTTTGTCCGCAATTTGCTTTATGTCCGCGTTTGCTTTTTGTCCGATAATTTTGCTTTTTGTCCGACACTTTTGCTTTTTGTCCATTGCTTTTTGTCCGTTTTGCTTTTTGTCCGATTATTTTTCTTTTTGTCCGACACTTTTGCTTTTTGTCCGTTGCTTTTTGTCCGTTTTGCTTTTTGTCCGATAATTTTGCTTTTTGTCCGACACTTTTGCTTTTTGTCCGTTGTTTTTTGTCCGTTTTGCTTTTTGTCCGCTGATTTTGCTTTATGTCCGGTATAAAAATGTGTATATTTTTTGCAGGTTTCATTTTAAACTTCGAAACACTATGCCCTTTTTGGAGTTTACAGACCATACTCACTTTATAAATGATTTGTACATGAAATATTCGTTTCTTTCACTAGATATAAGAAGATGTGGTATGAGTGCCAATGAAACACATCTCCATCTAGTATGATCAATATGTTCTGAATTTACTTACGTTTAAAATGATTCATTGGAAAAGTTTTAGAAGATGGTTATTATGAGCATTTATAATTTTGACATACATTTAGTTTCGCCTGAGAAGTGCGCAACATAATCACGGGTGTCATTCGGTTTATCGAGAGATATGATCGTGAAAGAATACCTTACGGTGGTCAAGTATTACGATCGGAAGCTTTTGTACAGGATCGTGAATTCAATCTTATCGAGAAAACATGTGCAAGGTCAATTAATAATCTGATATAATGAATTATACGAACAAATTTACAAAAAAATAAAACTGTCTGTCAAATGGTTCAACATAATGGTCAGTATCTGAGAAAAATCAAGGTTTAAAAGTAAACCGTTCTTACAAAACTACAAAAGGCAGATTGCTCCATTACTGAAGGTATCATCTCTTACACACACAAAAAAAACCAAAACAAATAACGTACACATGCATATTTTTCCAGGGCGGATGCATTAAGCATTACAGATACATATATACTTTTATTTTACGCTTCTGCAGGTCCTTTTATCTTGGAGATCTACTTATCTAGACACGTTTTTATTTATTTTAATAACTTTGAAGGAAAAGTGTTGAATTGAAAAAAAAGTGAAACAAAATGAAAGCATTAATGTCCATTCTTATCAAAATAATTACACGCTTCAGCTAGTTGCAGGTATATCAAGTGGTAATTGAAATATAATTATTGTTTTCTGAGTATTTTAAAAGTCTGGTCCGGCGCGGGACGTTTGCGCTTTTTGACAGGACATTTGCACTTTAAAAAAAGGAAATTTGCACTTGTTCAATAGGACATTTGCGCTTTCTAAACAACATAAAAATCATTAAATATAAAAAAAAACAAAACACACAAAACACAAAACATTCATACATTTATATACAGCTAAAAGCTTCAACCTTTCCCCATCATGCTTTTGTCCATCCATAAAAGTTTTGTTTTTTCTATCGTTTACCGTCTACCGAGAAACCCATGCATTACATTGCACGCATAACCATTACATTTGCGCGAAAAAAATCATCACGTTTGCGCACAGCTTTTGATTACATTTGCG